ATTTTCTTCCTTTCCCCCCCCCTGGTGAGGGTGGGTATCCAGCCTTTAAAACATTTACATAAAAATCTTTTGCCTTCCAAACTGTGTTTAACCGGTATCTTTCTCCATTATAAGTCACTATTAGACCAATTGGAACATCCCATCTGTATGCCACTTGTTGATTTCTCAACTCATTTACCAGGAAGCCAAAGTCTTTTCTCAACATCTTTGGAGGAATCTCTTTCAAAACCACCACCTCTTGCCCAGCCACCTGAACTTTATTCTTGTAAGAAGCTTGTAGGATTTCATTTCTGATCCTCCTAGTTGTAAAATAAATCACCACATCTCTTGGCAACTGTCTTTGTTTTGCCAACCAGGAATTAACCCTGTAAATTTTATCAATTTGGATTGCCACATCTTCTGGTCTTTCTTTAATTATCTCTGCCATAGCATCAGCACAAATGTCTTTTAAATTTTCTTTGCTATTTTCCTTCAGGCCTCTCAATCTCAGAGCAAACTCCATGGATCTGTATTGTAACATTACCAATTCATCATCCACTTTCTCTGTTCTGGTCATGACATCACCCATTTTGCTTTCCAAATTTAAGTTGGCTTCATTAATTTCTTCAACTTTCCCATCAAGCTGGATAACAAGGTTTGATCATCCTGATACAGCAAAAACAATATCATCTCTTATTTTATCATGTTCCTTTGCAACCACTTCCTTGATCGAACTTATATCCTCCTCAATTTTCTTAAATTTCCCTTCCACAAGGGAAGGGAAATTGCTGTGGCCTGGTTATTCATAGCTTCTCTCATTGCTGTTGCTTGATTATTCATGGCTTCTTTCATAACTTCTTTAAAATCATTAAGTGCTGCATCTTGACTTTGAGTCTGGCTCTGTGAATCAGCCGGAAGTTGTGCTTTCTGTGTCACCACTGACATAACTGGAGAACCTCCCCCTCCTTTAACAACTCCTGGTTTCACTTGTCTAGAAGCCATTTTTTTCCCTCCCCCCCCCTTTTCTTTAAAAGTCACAAAGTCTTTAAAGATGTTTGTAATTTATAGTCTCTAATTTGCCAGGCAGAGTAGTTTTTTTTTTCCTCTTTCCTCCACAAACTCTCAGTTCCCAGCAGTTAATAGGCAGCTAATCCACTCTCCCAGCGCAAAGTTCTCAAGCACTTTCGTTTCTGGCTTTCACTTTCAAAACCATAACAAAGACGCCATCTTCCGCCTCCAGCTTAAGATTCAAATTGAAACAAAGTAACTTCAGAGTTAAGCTCTGTACTTTTAAGGCTTGTTCTCCTGTTTTCCGCTCTGCCTGCGCTTGTAGTCAATCAAACTCACTTTTAAAAGCAGGATCGGATCGCGGCTTCTCGCTCTGCTTTTGCAGAGTCGTCCTGGCTCCGGAGCTTCTTGGCGGGCTGGCTGAGGAGCTCTCACCCTCCAAGTCTCTGGAAATGTTTCAGAGGGCTTTCGGGGAGCTCTACTCTCGCCCACCGGCTCTCCTCTCCTTCTTTTCCCGAAGGAGAGTTTTTCAGCCACTAGACAGCTGATTTGCGCTGTCAAAGCGGCTTTTACAGAGACACAGGGCTGGCGGTCTTAAAAGACCGTCCACGGAGCCTGCGGTGCCAACCGGAAGTCAAGTCACCAAGTTTCTTGTGGTGACAGCAGGTGTGGATATTGATGGAAGCAGCAGCAAGGGAGGGATTGGTAGTGCTAGGAAGATGAGCAGGAAAGTCAACATGCAGGACATCCTTAGAAGAAGGGAAAACATGAACTGGGCTTATCTCCCATAAAATCACTGAGGGATCTCTTTGGACTTTGTTTTGGCCAATACACAGAACAGCTAAATGGTTATGGGCTTTGTTACAGCAGACCTTCCAGAATGTAACTGATTGCTTCCAGTTCAAACCAAAGCATTTTCAATTTAATTTAAAAATATCTTTATTAAATATTTACAGTAAAATTAACACACAATAATGATTGGAAAACAATATAAGAAGTGAAATGTAGGAACACATAAACACAAGACTAAAACGAAACAACAAACATGACTAACCGAGAGTTAAACTTACTCTCCAATTAATATTAACTAATATCATCCTAACCAAACATTTCAATACAATCAAGTTCTTTTAATATCTACAAAACAATTGGCCTGTTTTTTTTCAAAATTATAAAGAATTATATAGCCTGTTAAGGATATTGGTGTTCTGTTACCAACCAGCAGAGTAAATGCACAAGGAAACGTTGCTGAGAGCAATGAATAAGAGTTATGCAAACTGGTTTATCAAAAGCTTACTTTATAGTAGAAAAAACAATCTCATAGTCTTTAAACAAATTCCAAGTCTTTGCCAGTTAAATCAGTCCAGTATCTTCTTACCAAACAGACAGTAGTTGGTTAGAATAACAAACTCACTCTGGTTCACAAACCACGATGGTAGCAGATCCATCCAACAATGATTAGCAGAATGATAGCAACTCCTCACACTATAGTAGCTTATCATCAACTGAATACTTTACAGTACCTTCCTTAAATACGTTCACAACCTGTGATTATCTAATTACAGCATGACTCAGCATTACAATGAATCAGCAGTAGAACTTTAAAGTCATACAATACATATTCATATTAAAGTCACAGAACACATATATTGCCTGGACAACTTGTTAGGCTCAAACCATATCCTAACATTGCCTATTAAGTATCTATTTAATCTAATTAGACGATCTTATCACCTATCTCCTAGGTTTAATCTTCTTTTGAGCCAGACAAAGCATCTGTCCCAACTTCTATTATATATTGAATCTTTCTTGTCTTTTAAGATATACGTTAGCCTGTCCATCTCAGCACATTGAAGAATCTTATTTATTATCAGATGGTCAGGGGGCGTATCTGGATCTTTCCACAGTTGAGCAAATGCCATTTTCGCCGCTGTTGAGACATGGACAAATATATACCAATCCTTGTTGTCAATGTGGTCCGGTCTTATTCCGAGTAAGTAGAGGTCTGGGTGAAGGGGAAAGCTCACACCTGTTATTTCCAGCAGCCACAGCTGTATTTTCCCCCAGTAGCGTCTAGTTGACGGACAAATCCACCACTGATGGAAGAAAGTACCCTTGGCCGACCCACATTTCCAACATCTATCAGAGGATCCTGGGAACATCTTAGCGATTCTGGTGGGGGGGAGATACCAACGGTAGATCATTTTATAAAAGTTTTCTTTGAACGGGGAAGAAAGGGTCAATTTCATAGTTTTGTTCCATATATTTTGCCATGTATCAAGCTGAATTGTTGTTCCAATATTTCTCCCCCAGGCAATCATCATGTCCTTTACAATCTCCTCCGCCATAAAATTGGACAGAAGAAAATTGTAAACGTTGGAAATAAATTTCCTTCGGCCACCTAGGAGAAGCTTGTCAAAAGTTTGTAAATGAAGGGAGATACCATGTTCCTGTTTATCCCTAGTGAATCTAGTTTGAATTTTCGCATAGGATCACCAATCTATATCTAATCCTCTAGTTTGGAGATCGGCTCTAGGTCTAAGTCTCCCGATTTCATCCAACAAGTTACCATAAACCCAGTTCCTCTTTGTGTTGTGCACAGTTGGAAGGGTCACTGCCTCTAACGGAGACACCCATTTAGGAATCTGTGTGTAAACTTGCTTCTTCACCATTTCCCAAACCCTTAATAAAATTCCTCTAATATAATGATTTGTAAAATATTTGGATTGTTTGTCTTTCTGAGACCACAAGAAGGAATGCCATCCCTGCTGCAAATCATATCCTTCAATTGCTAAAATGCGCTTTCTTGAGAGGTCACCCAATCTTTTATCCAAACCAGGGATGAAGCTTAAACCAAAGCATTTTCCATTGCATGCAACCCCTAAATAAAATGTATGGTTTATTCTTATCTGAAAAAAGTACTTATATTCCAGTTTTATCTACCCAATTGTAGCCTGTGGTTGCAAATATGCTATACCATAAACTTAGTTAACAAATTGATTGGCTGTTTGGTTAAGATAAAACAAGCCACAATACAGTTTCATATAAACTGCAGTTTACATAGCGTACTAACATAAATATCTATTTGGTTTTGACTTAGCAGGTGGGGTTAAATTGTGGTTGGTGGCTTAGCATATATATCAATATTACTAGCAGGAAAATACATTATTCTGCATTTTTGTATAAAACTCAACATATATCTAATACTCCTGCTTCCTCTTTTCCCCACAACAATCCCCCTATGAGATGGGTTAGGCTGAGAGATGGCCCCAAGTTATCCAGCCAGCCTTCACACCCAAGGGAAGAACTCAGTTTCCTGATTTCTAGGTCAGCATATTTTCCTTCTGTGGCCCATTAAATCTCCTAGTTCCCCCAGTTGCTTTTCCCTGATTTCCAAACTTGCCTGATTTCTGAACCTGCTGGAGTTATTTGCATTTGACAGTTTTTGACAGTTTTTCTAGAATTTTCCATATAAAATTGCAGAACAGGCAAGTGATACAAACATTTTTTCTTATGTTTGTGGGCTTTTTAAGAAACATTAAGTTGGTCTCTGGTGAAAACATTAAGTTGATCAAGATGGTCACTTTGGCTGAAAATTGCTTGGAGAATTGGGGATATCATTAATCATATACATAATATGTATATAAGTTTTAAAAAACATAACTTAGGACATAGAAGAAGAATAAGAGCCATTTGGAGCCTTTTTTAGGAGAAGTAATTGGTGCACATTGCTATTTATTATGCAGGACATCCCTAGAATAGATTTAGAACATTGAAAAATTTAAACAAGGGAATGGAGTTACATTAAATAACATTTAAAATATAGTATTTTTTTATCCGGATTCTATGCCAGTCTGTGAGTATGCATTGAGTACAGGAAGAGGGAAGCCCAATGAACTCTATAGTGTTTTAAGTGTGTCCTCGTGGGCTAAATGAAGTTCAAGAAGCAATAAGAGCTATAGAATAATTGCTTAAAACACTTTCTCTTTCCCCTTCTTTTACCCCAAATTCAGATGAATGGAATTGGGACAAGTGGACTGGAAGGGATGATGGAATGTGGTGGCAGCAGCAGGAGGAAGATCACCAACCATACTGTGAGGACCCTGACTTTGTGGTATGTTGACTTGTTAATGATTCTAGCTGTATATGGCATAAGAAAGGGAAACTATTGTCTTCTGTCCCCTTTGACCCCAGTCAGAGCTGCTTAGGGCCAGCAGGTAATGCCCCAGATTTGGAAGACAAACATTAAATCCAAGGACAGCCAGTCAAGAGGCAGTTTTATTTATTTATTTAGCGTATGGCATGTGTTAGCCAGGACTCACCAAGGTGGCTGGCTACCTCTGTGAAAGGATTTTTTTCGGGTGGTATTATCTTTACCCGCGGGACACCTGAATGCTGGTAGGCAATTGGGGGAAGCTCCTTTCTTGTCCCTATGTGGTTTATTTGCTGATGGGAATCGAGCTACCGAGCCGCCGACCTCAACGGTGCCCATACCCAGTGTCTTACCATGTGAGCCACCGCAGCCCTAACGACAGGCAGTATTACCCATGTTCAGAGGATTAAAAATACTCAACAAAAACTGAGATGTATAATTACATAAGGAATCAGAGGTGATTGAATATGGGTTTGGCTTGATTTTTTCTTAGTCTTTTACAGAGTCTAATCTTTTTGTGCAGTACTTGTTCCTCTGCAAGGGCTGCAAACCTTAGAATTCAAAAGAAAAAGAATTGTGTAAGGACCCGCCTCAGCTGCTCCTGAGGAAAGCATGAATCTTGAAACAAGTAGTTATCAAAAGGAACTTTTACTTAAATTTGTTAACTTTAAGAATCGTCAGTTCTCTTCCCTTATGTAGTTTTTAAATTTAATCTAAACAGTCCAGTTCCTTACATGTTGATATATATGTATAAGATTATTGCTATGTTTGTATTAATATGTTTAGCACTATACAAAGCTATATATTATACTATATTTCTCAAATCCTTGTTTTCTATATTCTATATAACTCTATATACTTATTTAAGACACTATAAATTTTTATTCATGTATAAGTTTATGAAAGAGAAGAAAAAAAGAGGAAAGAAAAAAGAGAGAAAAAAAGGAAAAAATTATAAAGGTCCCACCTTGATTATTTATTTTTTTGAGGAAGCAGCAGTCCGATGTGTGTCCCATTTGGGCACTTCTGAGGTTTGTGTTGCTGGTGTGTGTGTGGGGTGATTGGAAGTTAACAGAGCCCTTGCCACAATCACAGCTCCAGCATGTGTTGAGCAGCTATGGAGTCAGTGACCGGGACTCTGGTGCAAACTCTGTTGAACAGGAAGTGCTTGGCGGCGCATGAGAGGCTTTCTTTTTGCCTCCGCACCTATTTGGAGACTGAATGCAGCAGCAGCTCTTCAAAGAGGCAGTTTGATAGCGGCTGCCATTTGTTGGAAGCGCGAAGGGATTTCGTGCCAAAGAACAGCTATTTCTAATTGTGCAGGAGTATGGGGCTTCTTCCTGCCTGCGCTCCCCATTTTACAGCTTAATTTGGGCGTTGTCGGAGCGGAGAGAGCCAGAAAGCTCATTTCTTCAATTGCAAGCCTGGCTTAGCTCCTGGAATTGCAAAGCAGCATTTAGAGTCCTTTGGCTCTTTGCTGAATTGCCTGGTCGTTCTTCTGGCTGGGATCTTTCTGCAGATAAGGATCTTGCAGTCTGCATCCAATGCTGAGAGCAGCTTCTGGAAGGACATGTTTGCCTGGGAGCAACGTGTTCCTTATTTGCTGTGTTTCTGAAGCCCAGTCATCCTTTGAACTGGTATTTTCTCTGTGGTAATTGGGAATTTCTCTTACCTTAATTTTTCTGCATACAGTCATATTCCTGAAAGGAATTAATTTCTGAACTTATTGGAAACAATTTATTTATCATGTCTGCCTCTGATGTATCTTCTGACTTAGAACCTACTGTTAGCCCTCCAAGGCTCCATAGGATCACAAGGGCTGGTTCTAAACATACTTCTAAATCTACCAGAAGTAAGTCAGCCAAAGCTAGACCTTCATCAGGAGGATCTGCAAGACAAACTGCAGGGGCAGACAAAAATGCGGGCAGGCGCCACAAGACCTCAGAGAAACAGTTTGATAAGGCACAGCGCACTGCCTTGGTTGCAGAACATCTGCGTGTTTCCACATCTGCTGCCATATCAGCTGCTCCAGCGGTGTTAGTTCCATTGCAACCTGTGGCTGCCGCTGCAAGCCAAAATTGGGCTACATCTGAGCCTGGAATGTCTTCCCAGCCATTGCCTGAGATTGTGCAAGTTGTTCCTGGGACAGGCCAGAGCACACCCAGGTGGGGACTAGTGGTCAGTTGGCACCTGGCTGTCAGGTTCCTGAGGCCACATTTACTCCGGCTGCAGCAGGGTTGCGTGCAGAAGAATAGTCTTCGTCTGTTCAACCTTTGCATATCCAAGCTTTGATTTCTGATACCCTGTCCAAAATGCTATCAGCGGGTATTCAGCACGCTGGTCAGGTGCCTTTGCTGGCAACCAGACCTATTCAGCAGATTCAGCCTGTTGTGACTGGCAGACAGACTTCCCCTTCACAACATGAGTCTTCTAATGGTGAAGTTTCTTCGCAAGGGGAGGAGTGTCCGGAAGAGATGGAATTTTCGGAGGATGAAGGGTTGAGACTGGTAGGCCAGCGGTTCTCAACCTGGGGGTCGCGACCCCTTTGGGGGTCGAACAGCCATTTCACAGGGGTTGCCAAAGCCCTCTCTTGCCCCCCCCGCCCACGCCTTCACTCACCCTCACCCTCTGTCTCTGTTGGATCGCCGTTCGCTTACCCAGCCCACTCCCAATCTATTGCTGCCTCCTGAGTCCCAGTTGATAGCTAGAGGGAAACAAACCGTTTAAATTCTTGCCGCGGGGCTTCAAAGGGCCGCCCTACAGCTGATCAGTGTTAAAAGAAAACAAATGAGAAGACCGGTGCCTGCAAAAATAGAAAAAAAACAGCCCCTTTCAGCTTCAGCATAGGTTAATTACCATAAATTGATTTGATCAGCCTCCGGACTCTCAGCTGATTTGCTCTCAGCTGTTTTGCGGAGGGCTCTGTTGCTAGCTGCAAAGAGAGGAGCAGATTTTTTTTCCCCCTAGATATGCTGAAAAAACAAAACTGAAAGTAAAGCAGGGTCTTTGCTGCAACATGACAAAATGAGGCAGAGAGAGATTTCTTTTTCTTTTTCCTCACCAAAAAAGGTAGGTGCAAAACTGGAAACAATCGGAAATTTAGGGCAAAAGAGGAGGTTCAAGATTTTAAAACACAAAAGGAAAAAAGCTCTATTTAACTAGGGAATTGTAATAATTGAGATACTATTAATTGTATATTGTGTTGAAAGCAAAAATGGTTAAGTTGTGGTTTGGAGGAATATATGGGGGAAATTATTTGGTTTATTATTATTGGTAAATATAATTAATTGATTTGTAAGAAATTGGATTGCATGGAAATAATTGGAATATTCATGTTCATATTGATTGATATACAAAAAAGATAGCTATATAACTAATTGATTTATATTAAAATGTTGAATTTGTATTAAACAACTGTATTACATAATTACATAATTAACCAATGTGAGGATGGATATAAAAATAGATGACAATGGGAAGGGGTATAATATAGAATAGAAGGGAAAAAATGAATTTGATTAAGATTAGAGATGAGGATGAAGGGTAATATTGGTTTTTTTTAAAAATAGATGAGGAATAAATATGGCAAAAAGAAAATATAGAAATTGTAAATTTAATTGAAATGACTAAACACTGGTTAAATTTGTGAACCGGCCAAATACTCTGTTCAAAGAAAATACATTGTATGTTTGTATGTGTGTTTCTAATTATTGCTATTTATTCATATTTGTTCTCTTTTATTCTTTAAAGTTTAACAATTCATTCTTTATCTTAATATCTTTATATTTGTTTGGGGTTGGTTTTCTTCCCTTTCATCTTTTTTTATTGTACAGCAATCTTTCTCCTCAAACCTACCACCTCTCTCTTTTCTTTCCTTCTTACTTTCTCTTCCCTCCCCCTCTTCTTCTCCTTCCTACTTCCTCTTCCTTTCTCTTCTCCTCCTCTCTTCCTCCCTCTCTTACCCTCACTCCTACTCTTAATTTCCCTTCCCTTCCTTCATCCCTCTCTATTGCTGTATCCTTTTATGCATATGGACTACTCAGAGGGCTGAAAAAGTTATTTTTGACTGGTCCTCGCACTTTTGACCAGTCCTCGAACTTACGACTGTCCTCACATTTTATGTTTTTGCCCTATCTTGTCACCATAATGAAGAGAAGCAGTTGTGAAATGAGTGACACAGTTGTTAAGAATGCTACAATGGCAATATTGGAAGAAGGACTCTTTGCCTACTATTGAAGAGTGGATACTGAATGTAACGAACCTAGCAGAAATGGCGAAAATCTCAAGGTACTTGAAGGACTGTACACAAGAAAGATATGTATCGGAATGGAGAAAATGGATTGATTATATTCAAAATAAATATCAGACAAGAAAATATCAAATAGCTTATGAATGAACGTTAAGTATTAGAAGTATTATGTTATCTATAGTGGAGTTAAGGTTTCGGGAGGGAGTTAGTAGTCTGAGGATAAATAGGTTAATCTAGTTTATGATTGTTAAATGAAATACCTTGTATTTTGCTCTGGGAAGTCTGGGGGGGAGGGTGGGATGAGGGGAGGGAAAGGGTGGGGGGAACATGGGGGGGAAGAAAATTTTTGTTTTTTGTAAAACTTTTCAATAAAAAAAAAAAAGAATGCTACAATGGGCATGATGACCAGTCATAAGTGCGAAGACCGGTCAAAAGTGCAAGGACCTGTCAGAAATCACTTTTTTCAGCCCTCTGGGTAGTCCTTTTGTGCTCATGGACTACTCAGAGGGCTGAAAAAGTTATTTTTGACTGGTCCTCGCACTTTTGACCAGTTCTCGAATTTACGACTGTCCTCACATTTTACGTTTTTTGCCCTCTCTTATCACCAGGGTGAAGAGAAGCAGTTGTGAAATGAGTGACATGGTTGTTAAGAATGCTGCACAGGCATAAATGTGAGGATGGTCATAAGTGTGAGGACCAGTCAAAAGTGCGAGGATCTGTCAGAAATGACTTTTTTCAGCCCTCTGAGTAGTCCCTATACACATAGCCATGGCCACCTGGTCACATGACCTCCAAGCCACACCCACAAAATAAGCCACGCCCAGAGAACCGTTGGTAAAAAAATTTAGAACCTACCCCTGGTTGGGGGTCACCACAACATGAGGAACTGTATTAATGGGTCGCGGCTTTAGGAAGGTTGAGAACCACTGTGGTAGGCCAACCTTTCATGGTCTGTTCCGCCCATCGCTCAAGTTCTTACTCCATAAGGCTAAAGTGGCTACCAATATGGGACTACTTGAGGAACCTTAGGATCAAAGTCTGGAGGTTGCCTCTCCTAATGATGATTTGTTCCTTATTCCTAAGAAGGAACAGGATTTCATTCCTTACCCAAAACTCTTTTCTGAGGTGGTTCAGCAGCCGTGGAGTCAGCCTGGTTCACTAGCGGCTCCTAGTGGCCATGATAAGAAAGTTTATTGTTCGGCTCCAGACATTGAGGAATCTCTCCTCCTGCCGTCTGTGGATGCTCCGATTGCTGCACTGATCTCCTCTGCTCTGCTTTCAAGCAATATACTGGAAGGTCTTAAGCCTGAGGATCATAAACCTTTCCGTAAAGTCTCATGAAGTGGCTGCTTGGGCCATTAAGGCTGCTATGTCAGCTTCATTTTTTAACCGAGCTTCCTTGGTTTGACTTCGTCAATTTTTTTTTCCTTTAATTTATATGCCGCCCTTCTCCGGAGACTCAGGGCGGCTTACAATGCGTTAAGTAATAGCTTTCATACTTTTGTATATTTATACAAAGTCAGCTTATTGCCCCCACAATCTGGGTCCTCATTTCACCTACCTTTGAAAGGATGGAAGGCTGAGTCAACCTTGAGCTTGGTGAGATTTGAACTTGCAGTAATTGCAAGCAGCAGTTGTTAATCACAGTGCTTTAGTCCTCTATACTACAGGCTCTTTTCAATTGCAAGAACATCTGCCTAGGATGACATTGGCCTGCACCAAAAGGTCAATAAACTAATTGCAGCAACGGAATATTCTGCAGATGCATCTTTAGATGCAGTGAAATTTGCTTCTAGAGCCTTGGCATCCAATGTTACATCACGCCGGCTATTATGGCTGCGCAATTGGAAGGCTGACTTGAAGTCAAAGTGGAAGTTGGCTTCAGCGCCTTACAAAGGTTCAGTGCTTTTTGGAGAGGCCTTGGAACCAGTTCTCATAGAAGGACAAACGGAAGGTTTTACCTTCCTCATACAAGCGATCTGAGCACAGATTCGCACCTTATTCGCAACGGCAGCCATTTTGTCAGGAGCCAGGGACCAGTGGGTCCTATTTCCAGTGGTCCTATCAGCTGCCTTTGATAGGCAGTCTTTCCAGGATCGGAGCAGATGCCAAGCTCCACAAAAGAAGCCCTTTCGAGGGGGCGGGTCACGGCCCTTTCATCATGGCAAATGACGCCATGTCACCTTTTCTCATTGGCGGATGTCTACAATATTTCCACCAGCAGTGGGCGTCCACCATGACAGATGCTTGGATTCTTCAGACAGTGGAGTATGGTCTCACCTTGGAATTCCTATCCAGCCCCCCCAGCCGCTATCTGCAGTGTCCGATTCCGTACCAGCACAGCAAGAAACAGCTCATGGAGGCTGAGATCCAACATTTGCTGGACATCAGGGCCATCGAGCCGGTACGAAAAGGTCAAGAAGGGACAGTTTTTTATTCCGTCCTTTTCCTGGTACCCAAAAGTTCGGGGGGCTGGAGGAGAATCTTGAATCTCAAGCATCTCAATCAATTCATTGTATACAGGGGGTTCAAAATGCAATCCTTGAAATCTATTCTGGGTTGCATAAGGGAAGGGGACCTGTTACAGTCGGTGGACCTCAAAGAAGCCTACCTACACCTCCCAATTCATCAGGTGCATCACAAGTTCCTCCGCTTTGCATACGCCAATTGACATTTCCAGTATCGGGCCATGCCATTTGGTCTGTCGTCGGCTCTGCGAACATTCACCAAGTTGTTGACAGCAGTGGCGGCATCTGTCCGGATGATTCCAATATGCATCCTGTGTTACCTGGACGACATTTTAATCCTGTCATCTTCACTATCGCAGGCAGCAAAGGACAGCGCGACAGTGGTTCGCATTCTGCAACTATATGAGTTTACCATCAATTGGTCAAAGAGCCACTTGCAGCCTACCACCCGCATTCTACACTTGGAAAATAGGACCATCGCCACCCAAATTACTGTGTTCCCTGCACTTTCGGGGAGTTCTACAATAAAGTCCATAGACCAGGGTGCTGACGCCTCTGCCATGATTTGAAGGAGCCCCTGTGTTTTCTCCTGTTTTCTCTTTGCAGAGGCACACACGGGGCAACTGAACACATTGCTCTCAATGTGTCAGCACTAGGATAAATGCATCTTGACGTGATGTTTTTTTATGAGGGAGGGCCACCAGAATTGTCTTTTTATTAAATGTAAAGTTTTTACAAATCTGAAATGTCCTGCTGCTTTTGAATCATGGCATGTCTGCATAATCAAGAGTCTTTGACTAGCTGGCACATACAGTTTTGCTCCCACCCAAGCTAGTCCATCCTGCTTGGAGCAGACATTATTGTGGTTGCAAAACCACTCATAATCTGTTAGTGCCTTTTTTAGGGCAGAGGTCATATCACTGCTAACTGGTAGCTTTTCTCTCTGCTGCGATCTGGTGGTTACTTGGGCTGCCAGTTGATGAGCATTGGTTTGGTTATTTCTGCTTTGGAGCAATGGTATTGTGGCATCCAGGATGACCAGGAAATCCCCTCCTCCCGGGAGGTAGCACAAGATGAAATCGAACAACTGGAAGTGTTGCACCCAATGTGCTTGCTTAGGAGAGAGCTTACAAGGGGTCTTCAGTGCTTCCAGGTTTTTGTAATCAATCCATATCTGGAAAGGGATTTTACTGCCTTCTAAGAAGGGCCACCAGGAGAGGAGTGACCTTCTCACGGCATAAGCCTTCTTCTCCCATACAGCCCAACGTTGCTTGGTTTCAGATAGTTTCAGATAGTTTCTTTGAGGTGTAAACACCTCTGTTCTCATTTTCTTGCATTAACACTGCCCCCCACTGGCATTAGTTTGTATGATGAAGTGGTTGTTCTGGTCTGGGTATTTCAGTACCGGCTCGGTGGTGAAGAGTTGCTTAAGTTTTCCAAATGCAGCTTGCCATTCCATCAACCATTTTAAAGGATGTCTGGGTTTGGGCTTGTATCCTCTTTTTGTTTTCAGCAAATTTGTGATGGGAAGGGCTATTTGAATAAACAAAGGGCTGAATTGCCTGTAAAAATTTACGAATCCTAGGAAGCTTTGTAACTGCTTCCTAGTGCAAGGTGGAGCCCATTCTAACACTACTCTGACCTTTTCAGGATCCATTTTGATCCCCTCATGGGAGATTCGATAGCCCGGTTTTTGTCTTGATGGAATTCGCACTTGAAAAGTTTGGCATAGACATAGATTTTAGCAACCCGGTTTCTGCTTTCACGTGTTCTGCTTTAGTCTCGGTGTAGATTAAAATGTCATCTAAATACATCAGCACCCCTTTATATAGATGTTCATGCAGTACCTCATTAATGAGTTGCATGAAAACTGCAAGGGCTTCTTGTAATTCAAAGGGAAGCACTTTAAATTGGAAACAATTTAGCAGGCAGTTGAAGGCAATTTTCCACTCATCCCCCTCTCTAATCCTAATGCAATAATACACTTCTCGCAAATCCAGCTTAGTAAAAAAATTCCCTTTAGCCAAATGGCCTAACGTGTCCTCCATCAAAGGAAGGGGTTACACGTTTTCTACACATACTGTGTTCAGGCCTTGATAGTCGATGGAGAGATGAAGAGGCACATCTTTTTCTCCTGGAACGGGACTGGCGCCACCACCTGTGGTCACACCAGTTGGATAAATCCATGTTAGGTTTTTAATCAATGAATAAGTGCAGTTCCTCCAATTCTCTAGGGGTCATTGAGTATAGTTTCGGTTTTGGTAGCTTGTCCCTGGCATGATTTCAATAACACAATCTGTGGGCCAGTGGGGGTGGGTAGGTTTGATAGCAGTTCATCCCCTGGACGCAACGACCTTGGTGACAGGCTAGAACCGGCTGGGAGGAAGTCTGGAATGTCTTCGAGATACTCCCCCTCCCTAAATCTCACGCAGTTACAGCAAAAGCATGCAGAGAATGGAACCCTGATAGCCTATTCCTCCTCCATCAGAATGGCAATGTCCCAGAGGATGACCTGACACATTGTTTGTTCAATGTAAAGTATAGCAGTTTAGGTTCTCTATGGTAAAGTCAAGGGGCCTCAATTTGATATCTGGGTAAAATCCTGGAGGTGGATAGATGGATGGGAGTTACAAAATATGGACAGCAGTTTCTTGTGTGTCTGAGAAGTGAGTTGGTGTCTTACCTTATGTGAATCCTGGGGGAAGGGAGCTCTGCTTCCAACTTTGCATTTATGGCTTTGAGACTGAATCCGTGTTATCCCTGCTGTCCTCTACACACCACCTCTTCAGATGGATGCAAATTATGATCCCTCCCAGCAACCAACCCATTCCAAAAAGAAAAGGAAGCTGGAGATTCCTCTTCTAGGAAAGAAGAAGTGCAAGTCACCTTTTGCAGAAGCCATCTCTCAGGAAAAAGAGCCATTTGATCCCGGTAAGAATTTGAGGAGAAAACTTTATCTGAGTGAGTCATTGGCAAGGCTTGTGAAGATTGATTTAAAATTATACTTTTTTAAAAGATTGATTTATTATTATGAGTCGTAGTGGTGCATGCAGTATTGCAGGCTACTTCTGCTGACTGACGATTGCCATGAGTTTGGCTGTTCAAATCTTACCGGCTCAAGGTTGACTCAGCCTTCCATTCTTCTGAGGTCAGTAAAATGAGGACTCAGATTGTTGGGGGCAATATGCTGACTCTGTAAACCACTTAGAGAGGGCTGTAAGGCACTATGAAGTGGTATATAAGTCTAAATGCTATTGCTATTAGCTAAGTGTCTATCACAGGTCAGTCTTCTATTACAACCAAGCAAGGTGCCATAGAAATATAAAGGTGTTTGAGTTTCCTAGAAATATTCACTAAGCTAGGTAATACAAAAAGCAGAGGGGGGTGGGTGGGTAAGAAGTAGATTCATCCAAATATTAGAAATATATGGAGATTTGGGAATATGTATTGTAAATAATCTAAAGAAGATGTGACTAGGGAAGAACGATAGGCAGAATCTGAAAGAGTAACATCTCCTGATTTCCATTAATTCTCTTGAATTCTGCAGAAACAAAGACATTTGAACAATATTTGGATGAGTTCTACCACTTGGAATATGAGGACCTGATAGGGGACCTTCCTTGTCGTTTCAAGTACCGCACAGTTGTTCCCTGCAACTATGGACTGTCAACTGATGAGGTAAACCTTTCCTATAGTAGAAAATAAGACAGTTTTCTTCATAGTGTAGGAAAGGATCAGAATGAGTGCATTCTGCACTAAGAAACATAAAAAAACAATGCTCTTTCTCTTTTTAGATTTTGGCTGCTGATGATAAAGAATTGAATCACTGGTGTTCTCTACGGAAGACCTGCATGTACAGGTGAGGGGCAGCAACATAAAGTGGAAAGGTGCTATTTATAACATGGCTGGAGCCTGGAATCTGGCATGGAGATCGAGACCTGGGCTTTGAGCCCAGTTGGGCATGGGGAAAGTTGTAACTTAAGCTCCAGCATTTCTTGGCTCCCCCCCACCCCCACCCAAAAGGACTAGAACAGAACAAAACAACAGAGTTGGAAGGGACTTTGGAGATCATCTAGTCCAACTCCCTTCTCAAGCAGGAAACCTGATACCATTCTAGACAAGTGGCTGTTAAGTCTCTTCTTAAAAGCCTCCAGTGATGGAGCACAACTTCTGAATGCAAGCTGTTCCATTGGTTAATTGTTCTCATTATTAGGAAATTTTTCCTTAGTTAACTACTTAATATTACTTTTTAACTATTTTTTATTATTTTAATATTACTATTGTATTATATTGTATTATATGTTATAGTATTATATTTTGTATTGTAATGTTATGTTTATTATATCATATTTATTATGTTATAATAAATGTTATATAATAAACATAACATTACAATTTATTATGTTAGAATAAATATTACTACTTTATAGTATTACTATTTCTGTTTAATAAACTACTAGTTTAAATAGTTAATTAACTACTTAGACTAGTAGTTAATGGGCAGAGAAGCTTAGTAATCAGCAAGTATTCGGTGGGGCGAAGAATAATAAGAATAAGACATGGTAGAACCAAAATTGGACAAAGAAATATTTTTAGGACTCTGTCTTGTCTTGAATGCCTGGTAACGTCTCTTTGCTATCTAATAACATGGAATATAGCATGGGTGTTTAATGGGTTTTTTTAAAAATGAAATCTTGTAATGATAAAATCTGATTTTTATTAAGCGTGAAAATATGCAATCCTGATTTTCCTTCCATAAGATAAGGGCAAAATATAAATCAGTTATTCATTTCAACTTAAAAGAGAAAGCCCCTTATTTCATGCCATTTTCCTCTCCCATCCTACACCAGATACTAAATGGTGCTGGGATGATTCAGGAAAAGATGGATTTGCATGTTTTCTGAACAGATCAGAAAAAGAAGAGTTGCAGGAGAAGGCGGTCTATGAGAAGAAAAACCAAGATGCTTGGAAGAAGAAACAGATTCTCAAATCTCTTCAAACAGGGTATGTCTTCTGAGGCTTAGGCTGTAGCGAGTCCAGACTAAAAAGTAGTTCTTTTTCTATATAATTAACTACTGTAATTCAAAAAATTCAGGTTTAGAAAGTAATATTGAAGAAAATGAATGAAAATTACATTTAACTAGGGAGGGATATCCCTACATTCAAATATAATGAAATAGCCACCGTGCTTTCTAGCCTTTTTCCAACCACCATGGCATTTCTCTTTTAAATCATTATTCAATTTTGTAGAGTTGCCATTTGCTTTCACTTAATGTGCCTGAAAATTTTGACCCTGAGTGGAAACAAACTTTTTTCCCCTTTTCCTTTCTTTAGAACTTTAATTTTGATATTGAGCTGAGGGCCTTTGATGTTTTACTTGTTCTGCTGCCTTGAGACTAGATTTTTTGTTCTGTGCTCATAGGATCCTCAGGATCTGATTTTGCCATATCTTTTTGCAGAATGGAAAAAGAAAAAAATGGAAAGGAATTTCAGCCCAAGAAGAGAAAAAACAGCAGGGAGACCAAGTATTTTGGGCACTCTTCAAAAGAAATACAGCTGGTTAGTGCCAGCTGTAAGGAGAAAGGACGTTTGTTTCCCAAGACCACAACAGATTCTGTTACAGGGAAAAATTTTGACGCTCCTGCCTCAAATGGCTCTTGTTCTGTGCCTCCCCGAGTTCAGAGATCAAAAAAGAGAGGCAGAAAGGGGTTGGTATTGGGCACCAAGATACGAATGAAAGGCTCAGAGTTCAGTTGCCAGAGGCTTCAAGCCTACGGTCTCAATCCCAAGGGCTTGCGCTATCGCCAGCTGCTTCGTGAGAAGAGGCGGAAGAAACAATAGGGGGGGGGCAGTCATATTTGGCCCATCAAGGGACCAAGCAGTGTCATCTAGTTTGATTTTAGAGTCCAGCCTCCTTTTCTTGGTGTGGAGTCTACCACTCATTAATAGTGGCTTCTAGGTGGGCTTTAAACTCTACCGCTCTGATTTTTAGGAAATATGGATCAAATTGATGATATTTTAATGCATTTGCTGCCTTTATATTTTGTATCAACTTTGAGTTAAGAATCCATTGCAGTAGCTAATCCTGTATTATTCCTTTTGATCACTTCCACTTGAATACTAGGAGGGCCACTGCTTTGCAAAGTACCTTATTCATAACTCTGACTTAATATTAAAAAAAAAAATCTCTGGGAGATTGTGAAATGAAAATTGACCTCCATCTTTATTGCCCTAAATATCTTTGGGCTGTATGACATAGTATTTAAAGACTAAAGCTGGTAGCTGTCAGAATCATCACAGTGTACTTTAATATTTTGATTACCAGTACACTGAATCATGGTGTTAGAAGAGCCATTTAGATTCCAGGTCCCTTTTGCTTAGTGCAGGAACCCAAATTCCAGACAGCTTGTTGTTGAAAAATACCTTGTTTTCAAAAATATCCAATATGAAAGGAAACTTCCACTTCTCTGGATAACTGGTTCCATTGTTCCAAATTTTATTGAAAACAAACTACAGAGTAAAGTGTGTTATCCAAGTGACACAAGGATGCCCCAAGCCCAAATAGGCTCATGTCAGCACATGTCACAGCATTTAGAGGTTTTGCTTCTCTAGCACACCTGTGTAAGTATACTTTGAGTACAGAGAGAATTGGTGAAGCTGCCTGACTGTTACATCAGGAATGTAGCACATATGATAACAACAAAATAGTCTGTTTTATGATAAACAGTAGGATCAATTGCTGCCTAAGTCTGAATCATTCTTGATTTACATCGCTGAGTTCATGGATGAAACAGGGAAAGGACAAGGGCATAGGTCTGCCAAGAAACTGAATTAAGCAAGAGTTTCTGAGGAATTCCAGAAAGCAATGGAAAGGAAGAATTACTGTTATGAAGAACTGTCTTCTGCCAATTCCATGGTAACATGCCATAGAAATGCTTTCATACTTATAGTAGAAAATGTTACAGCAAGAAGTGTGGAAAGAAGCAGTAGTACAGGTAGTCCTTGATTTATGACTGATTACTTAATGACTATTCAAAGTTTCGATGGAAACCTGTTCTACTTACAAGCCAGTTCCAACATTCTGATGTCCATCTCCCTTCCCTGTGGTCACATGACATTTTGATGCATTTGCACCCATTTGCAATGCCTCAGTGTTACATGATCACAGTTTATGTTTTTGCCAAAAACTGGCCTTTACTTTTGTTTTTCAGCAAAAATGTTCCATAGTGAACAGTGGATTCACTTAACAACAGTGGTCACTTTATGACTGCTGCAAAAATCACAAATCAGTCACATGGGTTAGTCGCTTTATGATCGTAATGGACAGGCTCTTTTAGGGTTTTGAGGATTAATCAGTAGTAACTGATTCCTAGTGCCTGGTGGATGAATGCAGTATTGCAGGCAAACACTGCCCACAACCAGTAGTTTGATCCTGACATGAATCAAGGTTGACTCAGCCTTCCATCCTTCCAAGGTCAGTAAAATGAGGACATAAATTGCTGAGGGCAATATGCTGACATTGTAAACCATCCAGAGAATGATGTAAAGCACTATGGGGCAGAGTATAAGCCTAAGTGCTATTGCTATTCAAAAATGTGTCAAAACGTGTCATGTGATTCCACTGGGGATAGATGTGATCACTGCCTTGTCCTGACAAAGGGGTTTGCGCAGGTCAAAGTAGCTATGAGCTAAGCAATGCAGGACCATCCAAGATGGACAAGTCATAGTGGAGAGTTTTGGCAAAATGTGGTTCACTGGAGAAAATGACAACCCACTCCAATATCCTTGCCAAGAAAACCCCATGGACGGTATCAAAAGGCTAAAAGATATGCCAGAAGATGAGCCAGGTCTGAAGGTATCAAATATGCTACTGGGGAAGAATGGAAGACAATTACAAATAGCCCCAGAAACACTGAAAATGGCTGGGCCAAAGCTGAAAGGACGCACAGCTATGGATGTGTCTGGTGGTGAAAATAAAGTCCAATGCTGTAAAAAACAATATTTCATAGGAACCAGGAATATAAGGTCTATGAACCAAGGAAAGCTGGATGTGCTCAAATATGAGATGGCAACATTTAACATTAATATCTTGGGAATTAGTGAACTAAAGTGGATGGGAATGGGGAAATTTAATTCAGATAACCATTATATCTATTACTGTGGGCAAGAATCCCTTAGAATAAATGGAGTAACCTTGACTACTCAAATGGAGTAGTCAATAAAAGTTGCAAAACCAGGTCATTCAGGTATGACCCAAGTCATATCCCTTACAAATACCGTATTTTTCGGAGTGTAAGACGCACTGGAGTATAAGACACACCTTAGTTTTTTTGTTTTTTTTTTAATTTGATTTATATGCCGCCCTTCTCCAGAGACTCCGGACGGCTTATAATGCGTTAAGCAATAGCCTTCATACTTTTGTATATTTATACAAAGTCAGCTTATTGCCCCCACAAATTGGGTCCTCATTTAACCTACCTTAGAAAGGATGGAAGGCTGAGTCAACCTTGAGCCTGGTAAGATTCGAACCTGCAGTAATTGCAGGCAGCTGTGTTAATAACAGGGTGCTTTAAACCACTGTACTACCAAGGCTCTTTTGGGAGAGGAAAATAAGAAAAAAGCTGATTGGCAGGTGGATCGGCCTCCGGGAATACCCCCAATCAGCTGTTCCCAGAGGTGAATTTTAGCAACAGGTTCCTTGGTTGTGAGCTCTGTGCCTTGCTTTTTTTTCTGCCTCTGAAACTTCTGAAACTGTTTTAGAAAAAACTTTCTTTTCTTGCCTCTGAAAGCCTCCGAAACAGAGCTTCAGAAAAAAAGCCTCTGAAGCTGTTTGTGGGCTTCTTTTCTGAAGCGCTCTGAAGCTCTGTTTGTAGGCTTCTTTTCTGAAGCTTCGTTTCTGATGCTTTTTTCAGCCTCTGAAACCTCCGTTTGAGAAGCTGGGCGGTGCTGCATTTGGAGTATAAGACACACCCAGATTTTCAATTTATACTCCGAAAAATACGGTATGCAGTGGAGATGAATTGATTTAAGGGAGACAAAATGCCTGAAAAATTATTGAGGGTTGTAACACAGTATAGGAGACAGAGGGTCATAACACTATAGGAGACAGCAACTAAACCCATCCCAAAGGGGAAAAAGTGAAACATCAGCTGTCTGATGAGGCCTTACAAATAGCTGAGGAAAGCAGGAAAGGGAAAGATGTACTCAATGCAGATTTCCAGAGAATAGTAGAGATAAGATCTTAAATGAACAATGCAAAGAAATAGAGGGAAAAATAGAATGGAAAGAAAGAGAGATCTCTAAAAATTGGAAATATCAAAGGAACATTTCATGCAGATGGGTATAATAAAGGACAAAAATGGTAGATACTTAACAAGCAGAAAAGAATGAGAAGAGATTAAAAACAAATCATGGCTTACGGTCCCATCACTTCCTGGCAAATAGAAGAAGAAATGGAAGTAGTAACATTTTATTTTCCTGGGTCAAGATCACAGGAGAAGGTGATTACAACCATGAAATAAAAGATGCTTACTCCCTGGGAGGAAAGCTGTGGCAAATCTGGATAGCTTATTAAAAAGCAGAGACATCACCTTGTCAACAAAGATCCATATTGTCAAAATTATGGTTTTCCCAGTAATGTATGGATGTGAGAAGGACTAAAAAATTGATGCTTTTTAATTGTGGTGATGGAAAAGACTCTCTTGAACTGCAAGGAGATCAAATCAGTCAATCTTAAAGGAAATCAACCATGACTGTTCTTTGGAAGGATAGATACTGAAGCTGAAATTCAAATACTTTGACCACCAAATAAGACTCATTGGAAAATACTCTGATATTGGTAGACTGACGACAAAAGGAGACGGGGATAGCAGAGGATGAGACAGACAGTGTCATTTATGTGGTGGCATAGGTTTGGGCAGATTCTGGGAGACAGTGAAGGACAGGGGAGCTTGATGAGTTCTGGTCCATAGGGTTGTGGTGGGTCAGGCATGACTTACTGACTCATCAACAAAACACCATTTTACAAATAATTGGCTGCAACTTGTTAACTACAGTATCCTACAGTATCTTAGTGTGAGAATTTTCTTGTATAAGCAGTCTGGTGCAGAACATGCTTTTGTGGACATTTCTGAAGGATATGGAATAGTAAAAGAACTCATGTATTTATTTACCTTGAATAAATGGTATGACCAACTCAAACTAATTATTGTAGAAAAGACCATCTAGTTCCCAGATACACAGGTAACTTGCAAATTTTCAGAGAACATTTATTGACTAAAAGAGGGAGTGTTGCCTTTGAAGGGAGGAATCTCTTTGCAGTAAACTTGTGAAGTGCCAACAGCATATTACAGGACAAGTTTGACTTCCTGTTTTTGCACGCACACCTAAATTAAGAAAAGCCATTGCTTATAAAAGGCAGAAGGTATATAAAACGTCCAACTGCCAAAATTGTTAATCTACTTGCAAGTGGAAAAATGTCATGAGGAAGAGAAAGAGCTCTGAAAACTATTGGGTGAAGGTGGAGAGAACTGAAACATATCTGGCATGAAGTGAACCAATGGTGACCAATAGCTTTTTGTAATAGAATACCCAACCAATGTGCAAAGCCCTGTGCACCAGGGGCCTTGACTCTACCAGATACATTAATTTTACCTGATTCCCACTTGAAATATTTCTCCTCCTCCATGGGAGAGTAAGCCCTTCAGTTCTTTATTTATGTTATGACAATATTGTTTATTCAAGCCAACAAAGATGTTAGCAGCCACTCCGTTTTATACTTGTCTTGTTTTTTCCAATTCAGTTGCTCAATGAATGGCTGTTTGAAGAAATCCTCAGCCTTTAAACTGAAATTAAGACAGGGTCTTCCCTCCATATGCACAAAAATGCAATTTAAAAAGAGACTATACTGTTCTGTTTCTTTTCTTCCTTCTTTTTAAGGGCCTATGAAAAAAGTCCAGAGCTGATGAAAAGAAAGCTCTTGGTTTCAGGCTGATGCTCAGTATTGATAGGAAAGACAAATCTGAAGCTAACCGACAGTCTCTTTAATAATCCTTATCTGACTGTTTCCTTTATACTCAAAAAAAGGTCAAGGCTGTCATTTTAGTACTAAATGTCCTTTTTTTACATTCAGCAGCTTTATTCCAGTGTCACGACCTTCTGTTAGCAGCCTAACAAAAGGTGAGAATAGGTCTGTGTATGGGTTTAGGGTCCCCAAGGTAATTTTTTCCCCAGTGTCCTCCATAAGGAACAGCTGAGGTACTAGAGGTCAGGGAAGCAAAGACAACTGCTTTGTCTCAGATTTCTTTTTTGGACTTAAGAAACGCAGCTCTATTTCAAGCCTACATTCTCTACATAAATAAAAAATAAGTCTGAGGTGGTGGGTCTGGCTAGACAGCAATCATAAGACGACAAATTCCTCAGCTGAGGGCTTCTTTATTCTGTCCCATTTACTATGCCGTTGGACTTGCATGGTTTGCTGGGCAAAGTGGGCACACATCTCTTCCAAACCATATTCCTGAGCGCATCCCTCCACAACCGAGAACATGGGATATTTTTCTTTGACAGCTGCATAGTTTAGGATCTGCAGTGGGAATGAAGAATAATGAAGTGGCACAATCCATTTACTTGCTATAAAATTCAGACAAGTAGGCTTGGCTTTAATTTTTATTAGGCCTGGATTTTGCTCCATTTCTGACTGGAGGAGCAGTCCTTTTATAATGGCTTGTAAGAATTACACAGAACTCCCAATTTATGATGCAAGCTTCCAGTTTTCTAGGTCTGAAGAATCTTAAGCACAGTGGGTAAAATGCTAGTACTTAAATGCTTTAAAATACAAGCCTCTTTTGAAAAATTCTCATCCCAAGTTTTCAGAGTTTCAAATTCTGCAAATAAACATTTTGTATTTGTTTCCCCATATTTCTGTCACGTTCTCTCTTTAATCCAGAGTAAACATACTGTAATTCAGAATAACTTGCAAGTGAACCCAGAAAGATATAATTCCTTACCCGAATTAAGTCCAAGCAGAGATGTTCAAATTCTATTCTGTGACGTACATAGAATCCAATAGTACAGCTGGGATCCAACTTTGTGAATGATGTTTTTCGAGGGTAGTTACAATGGAAAGTCTGGAAAAGAGTTAACAACATTTAGTTTCTCCAATTTTTTAGACTGCCTGTCTCTAGAATCAACCTTCAAATGAAGTCTTAAGATCATTCTACCATAAACAGGAACTGGTAAGATTGAAAACAGACATCATAAGCCTCAATGCCTCTTTCTGTAACTAAAGAATAGGATAGAATAGAATTCTTTATTGGCCAAGTGTGACTGGACACACAAGGAATAAAAATGATTATTTCAAAGCCAAATATACTACAATATAATAGACAGATATCAAGATATCTTTGCTTTCAAGATGATATGCTTTTACATATAAATATATGGAGTAGATCTTACAGTTCAATCTCATTATTTTAAGAGAAGTCAGCATAATTGAGATATTGTAAAGAGGAAAATTTAAAATAACCTGTGAAATTATTTTTAAAATAAGTTTTTATTTATATATTTTTTATATTTTTATTATAGAAAAAAAGTTTTTATAGTCTGCAACTCACTAGCATCCTTAAAACAGACATCACATTTTGATGTTCATGAGATGTTAGAATTGTTACCTACAAACAACCCCAACTTTAGGTCACCTACCCTGAACTATGATATAGAAATCCCTCTCATACCGTGTTTCCCTGAAAACAAGACCCAACCAGAAAATAAGCCCTAGCATGATTTGTTACAATGTGCCTAATAGAAGCCCTACCCCAGGGGTTGGCAATGCATGGCTCTGGAGCCACATGTGGCTCTTTGACTCCACTGCTGTGGCTCCCTGCCAAACAGGTAGGGAGCATTCTGCAATTTGGCAAACTGGCTGATCCCACCACTGGCTGGTCCCGCCCCTTCCCCCTCCCTCCCAGTCACTCCTCGCCTGGCCTGAGAAGGTAAGGGCGACGGCAGCGGATGGAGAAGCAGATAGGTCTCATCTCTTGCTCGGTCTGTCACTTCTTCCGGCCCTTGTGCTGGGCGTGCCTCGGTCGCTCAGGCAAACATGTAATCGCTCTCCGCCCAGAGACACTGGCCAGCCGAGCCGTGGCCAATGCTGGCCTCGCTAACATAAGGGCTGGCAGGGTGGGAATGGAATCTGGGAGGAGGGGGACAATAGGAGAAAAGACCTGCAGTGCCAAGTTGCGGCTTTAAAACCTTGCATGGGGGACTTTCGCCACCCAGAGGATGCTTTTCAACCAATTCTGCTGGTGGCACCGCTCCGCTAGAGGAGTAAAGCTCAGGGCAGCAGAAAAAGGGGGCTGGCCCGCTGAACCTTGCACGTCCACCCCGGGGCTCAGGCTTGGCGAAAGCAGGAGTGCCCTTGCCAAAGACGCCCATTAGTCAGTCAACCCGCCAGATCTGCCTGCCTTTGCTGCGCTTTGGCTGAGCCCAACTGCTCACTTGAGAAGGGTCTCCCAGCTCGTGCGCGCCCTTCCAGCCCTGCCATAGCCAGCCAGGGGATCACATGAAGAGGAGGAGGACGGTCATCTTCGGGGAAGCCTCCACCGTGGTTCGCTTTCCGAAAAGTTGCCAAGAAGAAAGAAAAAAGGAGTAGCGAAGAGCCCCAAGGAGAGCTCGCCAGGTTGGCCCAGCCTCGGCTTTCCGAGAGTGAGAGAGGAGACACATACAGAGAGAGTTGCAGAGATACAGAGAGAGAGAAAGAGAGAGGGAGGGAGGGACAGAGAGAGAGAGAAAGAAGGAGGCAGAGGAGAGAGAGAGAGAAGGAGAGAGAAACAGGAGGAGAGAGAGAGAGAGAAAGGTGAACGCCTGAGCCCGGGTGAGGCAAGAGGTGATGGGTTAGGTGTGGCCGGGCGTGGCAAATAATTTAACAGCTAGTTCTGGGCCTTAATGACCTGCTGAGTAGGCATGGCTGGGGGGGTGTCATGTGACTGGGTGGAACTGAGTGATGTCGAGTTGGCCACACCCATCCAGTCACACCAATTGTTGAAGTATTGGCTCCTGGTGTTTTATGTGGGAAACAGATCCAAATGGCTCTTTGAATGTTTAAGGTTGCAGACCCCTGCCCTACCCCTTAAACCCTAGTTAAGAGAGTCAGCCCTGGGGGGGAGGAGGGGGGATGTAGCCAGCACAGGAGGTGGCAAGTGCGGGAGCTGCAGTGTGGCACCACCCCCGCCCCACCCCCTGCCTCACCTGATCCATTTGATGGTAGCGCTGTACAACCTCATCAACAAGTTTGCCAACAAAGATGCTGAGAAGGAGGGGCAGTAGGAGGAGGAGAATAAGAAGGAGAGAAAAAATGACTAGGAAAAGAAGGAAAAAAGCGAGGCCAAGGAAGAAGAAAAGGAGAAGTAATACCAGGTTATCAGTAACCAGGTTTTCTATTTGTAAATTAAAAACATTAAATTGCATCAGGCTGCTCTGGCTGAAGTTCTTCCCTATCGGTGGCTTGGGAGGGACCGAGAACTGGATGAATTAATGGCTGTCTGAAATGTGCTTGCAATGACTGCTGGACACGAGTTGGCGGCCCCGGTGTTCCCGCAGTGGTCCCAGTTGATGCAAGCGATTGGTGAGCATGTCAAAAGCAAAAAGTGGGACTCACCTGCAGTCCTTGCACTGCAGAAGGCAGCAAAACGTAGAGAGACACTTTCTCCTTTCCAAAACCCGCCGGGATGTGTTCTGAATAACACCTGGCTTGAACTGCTATTGAAAGGCCTCCCAGCTCTTTCCTGAAAGGAGGGTGGCTCTTTTCTAGAAGGCGAGGTGGCAGAAGAGCAGCCACAGGTGAGGTAGAGGTCGAAGGCAGCCAGGGGCAGCCCCCTTGCCCGCCTCACACAACCAGCAGGAAAGATGCAGTGCTCACCAGAGCCAAGGCCTGAAGAGCACCCAGCTCAGCCTGTAGCCCAGCGCCCGCAGCACTGAATAGGCGTGCAGGCCGGCACTCAGCAGCCCAAAGGTGGTGGTGGGCCGGCACTGGTGGAGCGTGCTGCGGAGATCGTAGATGAAGGCCAACTCGCCCCGCGCCAGGTAGAAGCAGCCCAGCAGGGCGGCCGAGAGTAGCACTGCTAGGAAGGCAAAGAGCCCCTGCGAGGCCAGCAACAGCATGGGAAGCTGCTTGGCAGTCAGCAGCTGAGAATTGTCTTAGCAGCAGCAAGGCCAGCGGGCAGAGGCCGGGGTGTGCCGAGAGCTTGGTCTATTGTGGCTGCGAGCAAGCAGACAGGATGGAGGGACGGTAGCAACACTCTCACTCCCGTCAGCCCCTGCACTTGCTGCCTCCTGTACATGGAAAAAATAAGACATCCCCAAAAATAAGCCATAATGGGTCTTTTAGAGCAAAAATAAATATAAGACCCGGTCTTATTTTCAGGGAAACATGGTATTCATACTTTGAAATATTAATACTATAGGGTCAGATAGTGTCCTGGGATTCACAATTCTGGTTTGAGAGATAAAATATTTTGCTATTTTATTTTTAATATGTGCAAAATGCATATATTATAAAATATTAAATATATTTTCCTACAATAATGGCAAATTCTAGGATCATCTGGTCACTTTCTCCTACAGTTCCAATAACTTTCACTTCCTCAACCATTTCTTCCCTGTTAGTAATTATTGAGTTCAGTGTAGTTGATCTACTAATTTCTTTGTTCATCTTTGGCCAATTAAACTATCTGAAAGGAATGTCAAGAATAAGTTGGATCTCCCACTGGGTGTTCAATTTGACTCCCATATTTTTCAGCAACTGAAAAATCTCCCATTAGCACACTGGTATGTTTCCTATATACTGTGGTCATCTGATAAGATTCTATCTAGATCTTCTGCTTGGTTGAGTGGCCTGTATCTTTCTTTTCCAATTAATATTCACCCAGGTGCTTTGAATCTGGTTTTCACCCTTAGTATCAGGATGTCAACCCTGAAGTTGGAAGGTAAAGGCAAGCAATTTCATGACAAGTACCCCCATAAGCCAAAGGGACTACCTGGGGGGAGGGGATGCCAAGTCAGCTGGGCATTTTCGATACTTAAGATGCTGCATCTCGCCAGGAGGCAGTTTTGGTGGCCAAGAATGAAGAAAGACATTGAAGACTATGTGAAAAGCTGTACCACTTGTGCAACAATGAAAAAAAGACCAGGGAAGACCCCAAGTCTCCTCCAGCAAGTGGCAGACCTGTCCCGACCATGGGAGGAAATTGCCATGGATTTTATTGTGGAACTTCCTGACAGCGGGCGGAGGGGGGGGGGACAAGGTCAGTTGGACCATGGTGGACCTGTTCTCAAAGCAAGCCCATTTCATAGCTTGCCCAGGACTTCCATCAGCAAAAAAGCTGGCTAGATTATTCATCAGATCTATAGGCTGCATGGGGTGCCGTGCAGAATCATATCAGACAAGGGAGTCCAATTCACGGCAAAATTCTGGAGGGAATTTATAAAGCCCATTGGGTCATAGCAAGGGCTCAGCTCGGCTTTTCATCAGAGTATGAATGAGGCAGCGGAACAAGCGGAACAATGATAGAACAATATTTGAGGTGCTATGTAGACTACCAGCAATCGGATGGGACAGAAATACTGCCATTTGTGGAGGTGGCATATAACAACGCAGTACATAGCAGCACGGGACTGTCTCCTTTCCAAATCACAACTGGAATGGAATTCGTCCCAATGCCTGAATTGCCAAGAGAACACCCTTCATCCATGTCATTAAATAAATGAATGGAATCTCTGAAAGGATTGTGGGAAAACACTAAGCACACTTTGAGGGAGGCGGCAAAAACTTATAAAAGACAAGCTGACAAACGCTGATCCCTCCAACCGCAGTTCCGGTTGGAGACCAAGTATACCTATCCACAAAATATCTAAAATTAAAATTAGCCTCTAGGAAATTGGGTTCGAAATTTGTAGGACCATTCCCCATAGTAAAGATAATTAACCCTGTAACGGTACAATGGAAACTTCACTGTAGCTTGCTGAAGCCAGTAACAAGCTCACAGCTCAGGCCACTAGATTGGGCAGTCCTGAAACCACTTTTGATTGAAGGGAAAACACACTATGGGATTTTCTATAATCTAAAAGGGTTTTAGATTCCAGAGTGCACAGGGAGCAATTACAGTTCTTAGTCTATTGGAAGGGGTACCCCCTATCAGAAGCTTCCTGGGTGAAAGGTTGGAAGGTAAATAGATAGATTGCTCAAGCAATTTCATGACAAGTACCACCAAAGGGACTACCTGGGGGGAGGGGAGGGGACCTCCCGAACTAACTTCTCTGTGATCTTGTTCTTCCTTACAGGAAACTTTCTTCAATTGAAGGGGGGCAGCCTGTCAACCCTAAAGTTGGCTGAACTGTGGCCATTTTCCTTTTTGTAGGTTTCTCTAGGGCAGTGATGGCTAACCTTTTTGCCGTTGCGTGCCAAAAGCGGGGGCAGCGCGGAGGGGTTTATGCACGCACGTGCCCACACCCATAATTCAATCCGCCCCGCGCATGTGTACACGACCCCCCTGGGCTCCCCCTGCTTTTGGCACGTGATGGCATGGTAGCTCTGGTATTTCTGTTTTTTGCCTTTCCCAGGCTCCAGAGGCTTACTTGGAGCCTGGGGAGGGTGAAAATAGCCTTCCCCACCCCCCGGAGGCCCTCCGGAGGCTGGAAATGGCTCATTTGCCAAGTTCCAGTGGGACCAGAAGGCCCATTTTTCACTCTTCCCAGGCTCCAGAGCCTTTCTAGGAGCCTGGGGAAGGTGAAAACGCCCCCCCCCCCCGGAGGCCAGAAATGGCCCATTTGCCAACTTCCGGTTGGCCCAGAAGACCTGAAAATCAGCTGGTGGAGCTGAGCTCGCATGCCCACTGATATGGCTCCGTATGCCACCTGTGGTACACGTGCCATAGGTTCGCCATCACAGCTCTAGGGTGTTTCTTTTCTCATTGCTTCAGGACGAACACAGTCTGGAGTGAAGGGGCCAGGGAGTGGGGTATAGAGATAGCTGGAGTATTGTAGCGTAAATAAAATTCCTTCCCGTGGGAATCGAGAACGTTGGTGCAGGTGTTCGAAAGGTGGAGACTGAGGTCACCTAGCAACTGGACTATATGCTGATTGGACCTTGTGACTGGAGACTGGGGGAAAATGACAAAGTTTTACTTTTAATTGGGTGAAAAACCAGTGGGAACGTAGAGCCAGTTTTTCACCAGGAACGTGCCAATTTGATATGTCCCAATAAAATGTTCTTTGAGGAAATTGCCTGCCTCAGAGTTCTTATTGAATGGGACCTTGACACATGAATCTCTATAAAAATGTGCTTATTCGTATGTAATATGCTACTTTTCGTTTCTGTGGGGTCTGGTTTTTTGAACAAATTAAATCCTTTCAATACTGTATTCCATTCCTAAATTCCATCTCATCAGGTGTTAATAATACCAATAAGCCATATTTACTCCCTCTTTACTAAGTCTTCTAATTTTCTCTGCATGCTCCCCATAATTTGTGGCCTTGAATGTAGCTCTTCTGCATCTTCTGATGTATTCATGAGCATCCCTTTCTTTATGGATACTGGACATTTTTAGGGTGGTTCTGGATACTGATGCTTCCCTTCCCCTTCCCCTCCCACACCACCCCAGATTTAGTTTAAAAGTTGCCAGATAACCTGAGCTGATAACACTTTTCCTCAGAAAACTGTATCAAGATTTAGGAGGTTGTTTACATTTTAATGCAAAATAATGTCATGATATCTTGACCCATTACAGTCTGGCTTTTCTCTGATGTTGAGAACAGTCTGTCAAAAACTAATGATTATATTAATATTGGATCTTAAGTTTAAGATCCAATATTAATATAACCATCACTTTAAGTTTAAGGTCTGCTTTAATATTTACACTGCATGTTCTGCTTCTAAAAAAAGGGGGGGGCTCATTTATTACTTATTGTTTACGATGTTCTTGTTCTGCTTTCAATTTTTGATTGAATCCAGAAACTCTCATTCAATTCTCAATCTATATAAATTCATGAAAGTAAATTTTAAAGATAGCCCCAAGCCTGACTTACAAATGTGCCACATTATAAGGATTTCTGGCCATAGTAAAATCTACTTCTCTTCTCCTTATGCTTGGTCCTACCTCCAGTACTAATATGTATAATTTAGCTATAGCAACAAGAAAATACTTTCTTCAATCTGAGTATTCTTCCTAATATTGGATTGTTTCTGGAGTTCTAATTGTTTTCTTTCACGATTTCCTCAACTATTAGATTCCTTAAGATCAAAGAGATATTGATAAATGCTCACCTCTACAGGAAAGTTCTCCTTAGTGGTATCCACAAAAGGCTGGCAGTAATGGGGATCCAAGTATAACAAGAAGTCATCTAGGCAGCAAGGGAAGTAGGAGGTGGAAATAAGCAATGCATCTTAACATGATTATCTTCTACTTGAAAAAAACTACACTTGTCAGAAGAGACATGGACCACCCAACATGCCCTTAGCTGCTTTTTCAACCAATTGGTTCACATGCCTCCTCTCTGAATTAGTCTGCTGCTTAACTGGTAGCAGTTTTACAAATGGCTATTAGCTTTTTTCCTATTTACCAAGGATAATTCTACTTTTTATTAGGTAAATGACAGGAGTTGCCTATATGCAGGCATATTCTCCAAGTACAGAGAACTACTACTGCCTTTTTAGCTACAATCCATTCAGATCCAACTAGATAGTTCTTTCCTTTCTAAAAAATAAGCAGCTCCAAAAAATAAAAAATCCCTGCTTATTTATTTCTTTTTATATAGACCATTCTTCAAACAAGAGCTACTTTACCATATGCATTGTTGGTATTGGTTACTGTATATTGAGAATTTGGGTAATAAATTAACTGGTTATATAGCTTACTGTAGAATTTAGAAAAGCTGATTTGGCTTATATCAACCTATTATTAGGAGGAAAAAATAGATTAGAGATTTCTGAGGTTCACAGTGAAATTGATTACCTTGATATCCGACAAAGTACAATGAATGTTTTGGTTTTCCTCCAATAATTCCAATGCAGAAATCTAATTTCAACAGCTCCTGCAGAATAAGGTTCAGAATTCAGGAATTCCACCAAATTTTTCTTTTTTTTCCAGTGTGATATTCAACCCCCAGTACTTATCTACAATGACTAGGAGAGACTATCACTTTTCAACCACATTGGACAAATGTAGGGAAAGAGAATGTAAGTGATAAGAGTTGGAAAAGCTGATAATTCAGTTTACTGTTATTCCTGATTTGCTGATTTTGTAAGAGCAATTTTCTTGCCTTAGTTAAACAAATGGGAATACGTACAAGGAGATTCTAGAAACCATCTCCTACACAGACATTGTACAATTCTTCTTACAGAATATTGCAACTTTGAGACACAATCAATATGTCCTTTTCATGCAATCAGTTGGAAAAGAACAAGACATAAACATGGATTGTATGTGAACCCCGGTATCCCACTATTTGAACCTGTTCTCAAGTCACCTTGATGCACTCCACATAGGCAGGATTAAAAGTCTCTCCACCTAGCCGCATGGGCACCAGGATAATGACTGCTTTCCATTCTGCCTCAGGATCCCATGGAGTCCTGCTGTTATTCTTCTTGGCTAGGTTTGCCACATCCCCTTTGTACACTATGGGGACACGAGAGAAGAGAATTCAGTCATAAATTATGTGGACAAAAAGCTAGTTAAATCCCTTTGACTGTCCTGAGACTTGAGCCTAGGACAAATCTGCCCAATTCCCCCTTCTCCAAACCTTACCTGTGCAATCCTGAGAAACATATATTACCAGGTTGCCTGCTTCTATGGAGCAATCCACTGCTTTCCTACAGGAACAAAATAGCACACTTCAGTGGAACAGTATCCTGCCAATTTTTCACAGTTCAGATGATTGTCATGGGAAGGAGGATGGAGAATAGACAAACAGTAAACTTATTAGTGGGAGATATCCTTGCTGGAATAAAAGGAAATTGGGCTGATGATGTAGGAGTCAGAAAAGCTTCCAAGATGCCATTGCTGCCCCAATACATAAAATTGTAGAATCTTTTATCCTCTTGATGTTGCTGATCCACAACTCACAGAAAACTGAATCAAAATGGCATGCCAGGAATTCTAGTTTAGCAGCATTTGGGAGGCCATAGGTTCCCCTTTCCTAATAAGAATATATTTGGCTTGCAAGATGACAGCTTCTGAAAAATTCAGATGCTAAAAAAAATTGAACTTTGCCATGTATTGCCTTTCTCTTCTTTTTCATAATTAATATTGCAATTCATCAACAACAAGAGAACCAAGCAAAGTTCTATTGTTACTATTTTCAGTAAAATTTGGACAAGTCTCCTGCACTCTAAGCAGGCGTTTTAAAGTTTAGTGCTCTAGTCAACCATTCTGTAACCTTGTGATAACAGAGTTTGATTATCCCTAGTTGTGCTATCAAAAAATTCCCAAAATAAGAACATGGAGCATTTCTTGGCAGAGAACCTGACTCTCACATAGCTAGCTGAACACCCAATAGAATACTGAAATAATTAGGAGCATGCAAAATGTTTCAATGTTAACCATTTGAAACACCCACTTTTTAAATTTGAAACAAATTATTTCAGTCACTTTGAGAATATTCAAAACACTACCAAAGTAATTGAAACAGCCTATTTCAGATGCAGAACAGCTATTTCAAATTAGAATTATTTTGAACTCCATCAGATATTTTCATTTCAAAATAGTCAAATTCAAAGTGCTCTGTACACAATAAACCTCTCAATTTAACTACCAACAAACAGACCAGAATATCTACCCATAAAGACTCCCGCTGAGAGAATGTTAATAATCTCCAAACCTGCTCTTCCTCATCTCTGTAATATAAATTCCTTCAGATACCATATTACCATATTATCACTCACCTGAGGATGTGGGCAGTAACAGAAGGGCCATACCAATCTCCAGCTTTCTTCCCTGAATTATGCCCAAGATCAACTAGTTGATGGATCCCAAAGGGTGCTTGTGGCTGATCTGCAAACCATGAAATAATCTTACGGTGGTAGCATTCCTTCTCCAGTTCATCAGATCCACAGGTATGCCGATGAGCCCACAATTCCCAGGGACCTATGGTCTTATTAGTGGGGATGGATGAAGCTTGGTGCAGATGAGAGATGCTGGGACAGGGCAGAGAGGCAGCTTTCATGGGCTGCATATCTGTCAAATTGGTAGCGATAAGGACATCTGACCAGGTCCAGTCTGAAAAGTGAAACAAAAAATCAAGAAAAATAAGAAAGGATAGCAAGCCATCCAATTCCCCAATGCCCATAGAATTGAAGTATCATTTATTCACTCAACAGCAAACAAACTGTAACAGACTATATATATATATATATGTGGATACCATACTTGCTGAAGGTATGACCCACATTTTGGTTGGTGGAGGAATCTGGCATCACAAATTAAGAGCTACTCACATTTTCTATTATTATGCAGATGTTCTCTGCTGATCTCTGGAAGATGCCAAATCCAAAGAAACTACTGAATTAGATAACTCTTTAAGATCCTCCATGGGACAAAATGTAAACATTATACATTTCAGATACTTAGCCTGTATGTCTTAGTACAAAGGCATGAAGAATAAAGTCCCTCTCAGATGTCTCACATATAGCCTTGCCACTCACCTTTGCTGAGAAAATGGACAAGGAGACCCTGCGCAAGCAGCATCTGCCCACTGCGCAACATACAGCCCCAGCCACAGTCAGTGGTCCATGCAGTGCCTTCGAGTTGCTGAAAATCTCGACGGTAAGTCAGCCAGATACGTGAGGCAAAGTCTTTCTGGAAACGCTCCACATCCTCTTCAATGAAAAAAAAAATTCTATCAGATAGAGGTCCTCTGTGGCAGAGGCACCATTTTTTTATCAGGCCTCAAAGAAGCCTGAAGACACTTTCACACAAACTAAAGCTGCAGGAAATCTTAGCGTATACCTTCGCAGTATAAGGCAAGACAGGGAGTGTAAGGTTATAAAGGGCTAGCATAAAAAAGTTTACAGACTTTGATGAATCTAGGTACTTTTTTTGTGTGATCCTAACCATCTTCTAAAACATAGCAACATTCATGGATGTATAAACTGTACACCAGGTTGCTGAGATTTTGCGATTTGTTTCTTAGAGAAGGGGTACTCAAATAGAACTCAGCTAAGTGATGAGAAGACCCTGCCCTATTGCATCAAACTTACTCACCCTCTTCTCCAAAGTGATAGACACGTCCAAAGAGATGGACTGGGGAAACCTTGCTGAAATTGGTTTTGATTCTGAGACTCCAACCTGAGAAGAAAAAGGAACAGAAAATTCAATCTCAGATCATGTGATATGTCAGTTTAAAGCAATTGAGCAATCCCTTTTTTTCTTATAGAAATTACTGAGGGAATGTGTTACCTGGCTTCCAGTTTTCCAACAGTACATAAATAATCTTCACTTGCACAAATGTATGAGCAGCAGAGGACAATCCTCTAAACACAGCCTTTTCCCTGTTAATCTCTTTTGTCATTAAGGCAACCAAGGAATAAGAAACAAGAGTCTAAGGGCAGGAATACTCCAAACACATTCCAATTATTGGCAATGTGGATAGGGTGGAGGTCTAACCAACACACACCTTAAATCCATCAAATGCACATACATGTATAAAAAAACTAGCTCAGCTCTTGTCCTTAGAATACACGTAGTCCTCAATTTATGACCACAATTGAGTCCAAAATTTCTGTTGCTAAGTGAATCTGTTAAGTGAATTTTGCCCCATTTTATGACCTAACCACAATTGTTAAGTGAATCTCTGTAGTTGTGAAGTTAATAACACAGTTGTTAAATCAATCTGGCTTCTCTATTCACTTTGCTTGTCAGAAGGTAATCACATGACCCCAGGACACTGCAACCATCATAAATATGAGTTGGTTGCCAAACATCTGAATTTTGATTACGAGACCATGCAACAATCGTAAGTGTGAAAAACAGTCACAAGTCACTTTTTTCAATGCCACTATAATGGTCACTAAATTAACTGTTGTAAACCAAAGACTACCTGTATGCAGTTTACACCTATGCAGTGACTGATGATATCTATATGGATGCTATGAAAAGTGAAGGTTATCAACCCTGGAGCCAACTTTGAGAATCTTCAGGGTTGCCACAGCAAGGCTGGATGGAGCTGTGGGAAAGGGAGTGGGGAATAGAGATAGCTGGGGGAATATGTAGCCAAAATAACATTCTTTCTTGTGGGAACCAAGGATATACTCACCAGCACCTGGAGGAGTGTGGATGGGAGTAATCCGGGATGGGGAGAGAGACCTGATTGGGGCATGTGATGGTTGTGTGTGTTGGTTAGGGGAAGAACTTTGGATTTTGAACTGGGTGGGGAAAACCCGGGGAATTTCAGAGTCTGGTTTTCACCAGCTGTGCCAATATGACATGCCTAATAAATCTATACTTTGAGGAACCTTGCCTTGGAGCTTTGATTTCATATGGGCTGTGACTTGGAACCCTGACAAAGGTAATTAACAGTGTAAATGAACGTTGGGCTTACCTTGAACATTCCATCTATGTGCACTGTGGGAGAGTCCAAGCATGGGTTCATATCAGTCAGTTATGACGTCACTGAGTTGGAATTTGTTTGGCCATGTCTTCCTCCTTCCGGCCAAGCCTGAGTTTTTTCAATGAAACCGGAACCAGGGAAGACACCATCCGATGTGAGAACTGACCACTCCTGGACCCCGGACCAGCCCAAGCCAGGGTGGGATTTGGACTCTCCCACAGTGCACATAGATGGAACGTTCAAAGTAAGCCCAACGTTCAATCTCCTGTGCACTGCTTGGAGAGTCCAAGCGTGGGATATACCCAAGCTAAATTGAAGTAGGGTGGGAAGCAGATCGGTCCAGGGTCCCCTCGGCCGGCAGGACTCTCTGTAAGACACGCCTCCCAAACACCGCCTCTGCTGATGCGAACTGGTCCAGTTTGTAGTGCCTCACAAACGGTGAAGGAGTAGTCCAAGTCACGGCTCTGCAAATGTCCAAAATGGATGCTTGTGTAGCCCAGGCAGCTGAGGTGGCCGCACTACGAGTAGAGTGCGCTGTGATACGACGCGGCACTGGACAAGCTTGATGCTCATATGCTAAGGCAATGCATGCCTTGAGCCAACGTTCAACGGTAGATGGTGAAACCTTTTTCCCCATCGACATGGGCTGAAATGACACGAACAGGGCCTCCATCCGTCAAAAGGGGGCCGTCCGCTTGACATAACGCCGCAAAGCCCTGCGCACATCCAGCGTATGCCAGTGCTTCTCCGTCTGATTCCTAGGATTAGGGCAAAAGTCCGGTAGAATAAGTTCCTGAGCCCTGTGGAACCAGGAATTACTTTTGGCACAAATGTAGGATCCAAGTGTAGAATGACACGGTCCGGGTGAAAAATGCATAAATCCTGGTGGACCAAAAGCGCCGCCAGTTCAGAAATTCTGCGTGCAGAAGTAATTGCCACCAAGAATGCAACTTTAAATGTGAAGAGCCTGAGTGTGGCAGTCCGCAAAGGCTCAAAAGGAGGTGAGGTAAGCACCTGCAAGACGAGTGAAAGGTCCCAAGTCGGGTAGCGATGAACAACAGGTGGCAATAAATTGGCAGCACCTTTCAAAAAGCTGTGGACTTTAGGATGATGCAAAAGTGGAATAGGCCCCTCACCTGGTAAAACAGTCGCCAAGGCTGCAACCTGACGACACAGCGTATTAGTGGACAATTTCTTTTTTAGACCTTGCTGTAGAAAGGCGAGGACCTATGGAACCGTCGCAGCTGTCGGTACGAAGTTCTTCCTAGCGCACCATCTACAAAATGCTGCCCAGGTGGCTTGATAGATGCGAACTGTTGACTGTTTCCTAGAAGCAAGAATGGTGGAAATTACCTCTGTTTAGGGTGACCCGCTCCCTGCTCCATCCGGGAGTGCAGGAGGATCCCCTGGAAGGCAGGGCGGAGGATTTCGGATAATACCTGTATGATAAAATCGCTCAGATCCGGGGGGGATTTGGACTCTGACTGGGTAGATCAGGGCAGGGTGACAAGAAATAGTCTTGAGAATGTTATCTGGCAGGAGTTTGATGCTGTGACTCCCGATAATGTGGACAGGATTTTGGGGAGACTTAGTACGGCCACATGTTTACTGGACCCATGTCCCTCCTGGTTGGTACTGGCTTCCCGGGAGGTAACACGAGGCTGGCTCCAGGGTGTTATCAACGCTTCGTTGAGTGAGGGTTACTTCCCCGCTGCCTTGAAAGAGGCGGTGGTGAGGCCTCTCCTCAAGAAGCCGTCCCTGGATCCGGCAATATTGGCCAACTATCGTCCTGTCTCCAACCTTCGCTTCATGGCGAAGGTTGTTGAGAGTGTGGTCGCGCGACAGTTTCCACAATTCCTGGAGGAAACATCTTATCTAGATCCGTTCCAGTCGGGTTTCAGGTCTGGGCACAGCACGGAAACGGCATTGGTCGCGTTGGTTGATGATCTCTGGAGGGCTCGGGACAGGGGTTGCTCCTCTGTTCTGGTCCTGTTAGACCTCTCAGCGGCTTTTGATACCATCGACCATGGTATCATGCTGCACCAGCTGGAAGAGTTGGGGGTGGGAGGCACTGTATTGCGGTGGTTCTCCTCCTTTCTCTCCGACCGGTCGCAGTTTGTGTTGGCAGGGGGGCAGAGGTCGACCTCGAGGCCTCTCATCTGTGGAATGCCACAGGGATCGGTCCTCTCGCCCCTTCTGTTCAACATTTATGTGAAGCCGCTGGGCGAGATCATCCGTGGCTTCGGGGTGAGATACCATCAGTACGCTGATGACACCCAGCTGTACATCTCCACCCCAGGCCACCCCAACGATGCCCTTGAAGTGATGTCTCAGTGCCTGGAGGCTGTGCGGATCTGGATGGGGAGGAACAGGCTCAAGCTCAACCCTTCCAAGACTGAGTGGCTGTGGCTCCCGGCATCCCGATATAGTCAGTTGACTCCATCACTGACTATTGGGGGCGAGTCTTTGGCCCCCACAGAAAGGGCTCGCAATCTGGGAGTCCTCCTGGATATGCAGCTGTCCTTGGAGGAACATCTGACGGCTGTAACCAGAGGGACCTTTTATCAGGTTCGCCTGATTCGCCAGTTGTGGCCCTTTCTTGATCGGGATTCCCTGTGCACAGTCACTCACGCCCTCGTCACCTCTCGCCTTGACTACTGCAATGCTCTCTACATGGGGCTCCCCTTGAGGGGCACCCGGAGGCTCCAGCTGGTCCAGAACGCAGCAGCGCGGGTAGTGATGGGAGCAGCATGGCGCTCCCATGTAACACCGCTCCTGCGCGAGCTGCACTGGCTCCCGGTGGTCTTCCGGGTGCGCTTCAAGGTGTTGGTTATCACCTTTAAAGCGCTCCATGGCATAGGGCCTAGCTATCTTCGAGACCGCCTGCTGCTACCGACGACCTCCCAGCGACCCGTGCGCTCCCACAGAGAGGGCCTCCTCAGGGTGCCATCAGCCAAACAATGTAGGCTGGTGACCCCCAGGGGGAGAGCCTTCTCTGTGGGGGCACCTACCCTCTGGAATCAGCTGCCCCCAGAGATAAGGAGAATCTAAGACCTCAGTGCCTTCTGCCGTGCCCTTAAAACCCACTTTTTCCAGCAAGCAGGGCTGGCTTAGGAAGAAATTTTTTAAAATTATTAAATGTTTAATTGGTTTGTGGTTTTTTAAATTTTGGGCCAAATTTATATAGATTTTAATTGTTTTTAATATTTGTATTTCATGTTTTTAATTCTGGCTGTGCACCGCCCTGAGTCCTCAGGGAGAAGGGCGGTATATAAATTGAAAAATAAATAAATAAATAAAAGAGGACTGCTTGAAACCCATGTTGTTCCTGAATAATAGTGGGAGACCAGTTAGGTTGCTCCTCTTGTATTTCTTGAGTCTGTACAACAGTGGGAAAAATATGAGAAGCCCCACCCTGATCCCCTGAACCCACAGGGGATTTGGGAGCTGCAGCCTGTTGTTGAGTTTTGCAAAATGCTTTTCCAAGGCTTTTTGTCTTCTCAGGGCATCCTTATAGCAGCTACAGAGGATTTAGTCTGTTTAGCTTGGGTGCTAACAGAAGGCTTACTGGATCTCAATCTAGGCTTATTAGTGTTAGAGCCTTCTGGCTGAGGTTGAGGTGTAGAAGACCCTTCAGAATCACTGTTACTGGCCATAATGGACTCAATTTAGAGATTCAAGTAAGATAATAAGGTAAAGATTATTCACGGCGCAATTCAGGGCTTTTTAAAATTGCCAAACCGGCAACACAGTTTGTTTGCAATAAACAGGCAGCAGCAGCAATAACGAGGGCACCCCAAGAGTTAAGGGGACAAAAAGACCTGTTATACTGACTCCAAAGGCCACAAACGCTGATTTAAACCAAAACACGGTTTACTTGTGTGATAAGAAGAAAGTCCGGCTTCCAAATTGCAGATCTTCACCAAATTACGCCCAGCTGCCTCCAAAACAATAGCCTGCTGCGTTATCAGCCCAAACAAAATGGCCACCAACAAAATGGCAACTATCGGCCACTCGGTCAGCGCGCTCTCCCCTGTGATCCGGGGCTCTCCAGCAGCAATCCACGACGAAATCCGAAGTCTCGGACCTCCCTGAGGCTCACAATGCCCTTTTCAAGCTTTTCGCTGTGATCCTAGGTCACGGAGCAATGGCCACCGCAGGAGCAATCTATCACCGCTTTGAAGAGCGCTCAGCAGCTGACTCACACCTCACTTTCTCTCAGCCACCCAAGCCGAATTTAAAGAGACTCGTTTTTTGGGTTTTTTTGGGTTTAGTCAATTATTTGAAGAAAATAGCCAATTTAAATAGTAAAGCAAATTAAAATAAAATTCAAATTTAAGAGACAACTCTAACAAGTCTTTCCCAGCTGACTGAGTTGGGAAAACTGAGGCTTGGCCAGAAGGAGGAAGGCGTGGCCAAAGAAATTCCAACTCAGTGACGTCATAACTGACTGATATGAACCCACGCTTGGACTCTCCAAGCAGTGCACAGGAGATACTCTCTACCATTCTCAAGGAGGAAGTGAGTTCAAATAATGATCTAGTTTTGTGCCCCATCAAAAGATTACAGAAATCCAGAATTAGAAGTGGAATGAATAGTTAGACATTACTATAGGCATTATTAAGCATTATTTCAGAGGAGAGAAAAATTAGAGATAATATAAACTAAGGAGTTCATATTGCTTCTGACAGAGCTTGTATCGTTAAAAAAAACTGATAACTTTCAACAATGCTTGTGTTTACAACTGCAGACCAAGCTAAAATATTTTTACCAGTCATTCTCAATTTCAGTTTCCATGTTTTAAGAGTAGTTCTATTAATCTCTATGTTCTGATGAGAGTTATAAGCAAATTTGTCAAGCGTCCCCCAGTCCATGCCCATCTTCATAAGATGAAGAAAATTCCATAGGAATAAGAGAAAAGTTGTTCTCCTACTATGATACTCATATGAGGAGATATCCAAAATAACTATGGTCTTGTACCTTCAGCATAGGAATAAATGCATCTTGAAGGAACCGTGGTCCTTCAAATATTGCTAGCAAGAATGAGAAATGCTAGGCACTGTAGTTCAGTAATATATGGAAGGCCAAATGAAATACATACACATCTATACACATATCAATGAATTTATTTCACTCACTCATTAGTGGGTTATTTCATTAACTGGGACCACAAACTCTTCATCAAAAGTGATGTTCAAGGAAATAATGGTGGGCAGTATGTCCTATCAGCTAGAGGTTACAAAAAAAGACAGCTTTTCTACCATAGTTTATTGGAAAAATAGGAGCTGAAAATAGAAACAGAATTTATCCTCCTAAATAGATGATTTTCCTCAACCCATCCAGATTTATTCACAAAACTACATGAAAAATACAAGTACAAAATACATGTGCATCTGCAATTACATTTCCCACTAAGTTAAAGTGTTTTGATTTTGTGCCAGCACATGGTGTGGGCTCAATCATACGGCTTAGAAATCATGGTTTATTGCTTAGTGTTGTTGTGAACATTAATAATTTACAACTATTTTTTGGTTACAAAAAAAGACAGCTTTGGCAACTTTGATTTTGTTTTCTTCATTGGCGGTACTACAATAATCTTGTCAGGCAGTATTAGAGAAATGGGTAGACTGAAATTTTCTGGCCAGGTTTCTGGGTTTGGGGCTATTTCATGGACATCAAAGTAATGGAACAGAATGATAAGCTTAAGTATCATTTTTTTCTTCCTTTAAAAATTCAAAATCTGAAAAATCTATCTAATTTTGAATAGTTTCAGAGAGTACAGAACATGTCTATAAGAGATTTGATAATTTTTTAAAAAATCTTTAAAGACAGATATATGCAAAAGACAATCTTTATAAGTAACTAAATTCTAAACCTACATGTTTAAAGGTTAACAAATAGGCCTCTAAAAGAAGCAGGACTTAAATATATCCTGACGGACAAATGAATTGATTTTATAAGTGTGAAACTTAAGAAAACACAGGTCTCCTGATTTTAAAGTCACAAAATATATTAAGAATTTCACTGAAAATTCAAACGGCATAAAAAAGGAGAAATATGTAAGATGCCGAGTTGATGGAAGTACTTTACAGCTGTTACATAGATTTTTTTAAAAAATCTATATTTCTCAAGATCAATGTTCACCTTGGTGACTATTAAACAGTGATAGGATCTGCCCATTGCCATGCAGTTTCTATAACCTGAACTTACCATATTTCATATTGTTCCAGGTAGAGAGGAGCTTGCTCTTGATCTTGTCCACTTCATCAGGTTCACTATACTGGCTGCAGATGGCACTTCTGGGGAAAACACCTGGATAGCTCCCTCCCTGGTTGCTGGCTCTGGGATTAAAAAACTGCCTTCCATCTGTATGGTGCAACTCTTCCTGGCTTAAGTACTGCACTGAGGTGGGTGACACGGAATTCATTTAACAACTGAGACTAGTGGAGACTGTGTCCTTTTTGACAGGTTGAGATGAAAACTTCATGTGCATTGCTGGGGAAGTAGAACTATAAAATCAAAGGCAAAAATATTGAGAAAGCTGCTGTACAGGTATAACAGCTCAATATATAATTATTAAATACCAATATCTGCAAATATGTCTTATATTCAAATCATCTTCCTAACTATATAAAATCTCAAATCCTGCACAGGTGTTTACTTCTCTGTGTCCAACTCAATTGGGCTGGGGAGGAAGGAGGCAGTTGTAAGGAATATCAGGTGTCCTATAAAGGCCAAACAATAAGGTATTATAATCCACTTTAAGCAATTACTTCTCATTTTCTGTTCGTAACTGTTAAAAGATCATGTCTGTGCAAATCTTTGCACAAGAAAAGCTCAGATAGTTTAAAAATCTGCAACATGGGAGAGAAAAGAACCAGAGAAAAGTCCATGGTTCCTTCACCAATGCTTACGATGTTTATACCAAAACTTTAAAAAAAATATAGAGGATATTATTCAGAAATAAGTTTGAAGTTCACTTCTTCAGTTGAAGTAACTCATCTGTTCGACACTAACAAAAGCTAATTTAGAAAAGCCAAGAAAAGGAAAACTCCAACATATTTCAAATCAGTATTGTCAAACCTATGTTCTACTGATTACCATATCAGATTCAGGTTTGGGCTCCCTAAATTATATGCCGAGATTGCTTGTGTTGCTTATCTGGAGAGGTTTATAAGTAGAGGAAAGAACTATCTGTTTTGGTGTCTTAATCATTAAAGCATCAGGAAAAGTTAAACTGAATATTTAGAAGAAACCAGGAAAGTTTAATAGGGATAATTTTCGTTTCAACCCGCTCCTCAATCTGCTCTGGAGAACCCCGTCTACACTTGGCCCATTTGCCCTAACCCACAGGTCGTCCCCCACCCCCGCCGAACCATGCCCCTCGCAACCAAAGCGAAGACCTGTCTCAAAGCCTTCTCTACCCCACGCAGTAAGGTCAGCGCAAGAAGGTCTCATCTCACCCTCCTTACCCAAACGGCGCAGGCATAGGATACGACAGTACGGGCCCTCTCTGGTTGTCTCGTCGTTCCGGCGGCTGCTATTCAATCCGCCATGAGCGCCCAAATCCGCACCGTACGCAACGATACCTCCAGCGCAGTCATCTTAGATCCCCGGAACAAGCTTTCGGCGGAAGTACTTCCTTGCCCTCAGACAGCGGCCGGAAATGCTTTGGCCAAGGGATAAAGTGAAAGAGAAGCATTAGATTAGTGTGTTCCTTTTCTGTAGGAGCGAGTCGAGTGTGAGTTTTCGGCTATCCTCCTCTCCTAAATGCCTTTTCGACCTCAGTTTTTCGTTTGGCGGGAAGAGCATGATTTTTCAAGGCCTTTAAAGCTCTGCTTCATAATTTTAATAATTAATAAATTGTAAAAGGCAGCTTTCCATAGAACAGCTTACATCCTGCTACGATGTCTTTAACACAATCAAACAACTATGTCTGTCTATTCCAGGTCTTTGGAAGTGACTCATTAAGTGGATAACAATACCAAACCGAGCCTTGACTGAGCTATGAGATGGACAGCAAATAAATTTGATAAATAAATATACCCCTGGCTGACTGAGATAAACAGATAATTATTCTGATAATTTTTAGGTCCTTGATTAGGATTTGAATTACGTTTTCACCAATCTTTAACTGTTAAATCTAATTGTAGATTATCCAAATCTCATAACATCAGATTTTAACTTTGCTTTAAAATAATAAAGCATGGATAGTTGATGTGTCAATACAAGGTGATAGTAGACAAAGAATTTGAAAAGGTCACAAGATATCAAGACCTAAAAATTGAAGTTGAAAGATGATGGCATAAACCAGCCATGGCGGTCTCAGTGGTGACTGGCACATGAGGTACCAAAAAATCTTGGACTGCACTTAGAATATCTCTATTGACAAAATTTCCATCTGTCAATTACAAGAGGTCTGCTTGGACACTGCTTGGATCTGCACATTACAACATTGCTCTCCTATAAGGAGCGGTAAATTAGATAGGCTGAAGGGGAGATACTTTCTCAAGCTTGAGTAAGCTAACATGAAACATAGGGTGGATCCATGTAAGGTTTTTTGGCAGTTCCAATTGCACAGTAACCGGGTTAATGATTCTGACTATAGGGACAGGGTCCACATACTTAGGTCCCAATTTCTTTGGGTAGTTTGTAAGTATTTTGTGGATAGATACACCCTATCCTGAGAGAGATGACTGGGGCAGGTCTGACAACTGAGCTCATATGCCTCCTGGAAAAGGAAAAACATTTGTTGTGTTGGGAATTTGGTGATAATGTTACTCTCCCTTTGTCAGGGTGAGGTTACTAATTTATTACCATAAGATTCCCACACATTCTTAAGACAATCTTGAAGCACCGCATGTATGTAGCTATCCCATAGCTAAAAAGCTATGAGAAATGTGCTGTCAGATCCCTAAAATGCTGCCATTCAATTGGAAGAAGAGAGGGCCTTGGATTCAATTCATTAGTATTGCCTGTGACAACTGATATTTTATAACTTGTATCCTGGCACCAAAGCACCCTGAGATCTCACTTCTTGGGGAATGTATAGAGGGATGACCATGTGGGTTGTTTCACTTTGATAGCCAACGAAATATAGCCATGGGAATGTATGCTTATCTGGTTCTCAGGGCAGCTGGTAAAATAACATCTTCATACCTGTGGATGGGCTAAATTTGCATCTGGCTAAAGGGAGGGTTCTCTACTGCTTTGATTCTATTTGCATTGCCTAAGGGTATTCAGACGCTGCTTTGAATCCATTGCTGTCACTTCTGCTAAAAGGTTGCTTTTGAAATACTTCGTTTCAAGAGTTTTCATTTTCTTAAGTTAGGAGGAATGGCAATCCTTACAGAAAGCAGAGTCTGCAAAACGGTCAATCTAGAGAAGCAATCTTCGCTCTACCGAGGGGACCCTATAAACCATGTCCGAGCAAAACAGTGAGCGGGGAGAAGCCAAATGCTGGGGGGAGACCTCAACCACCACCTAGCCAAATGCCTGCTTCCTGCACCCCATCAGAGAGGATGAGGTGACCCTGGAGGACCCCAGAAAGCCCCGCTGGTCGATTGGCATCAGGAAGAAAAACAGTTGGGATGGGAGAACAAGAGGAGTCACCCTCACCCGCGCACAGTAGCCAAAAACCAGGGTGAAAATTGAAGCTAGAAGCCCTCTCTGACCAGGAGGAACTAACGAAGCACTGCTAAGAGAGGATCGTCTGAAGAGACATATAACCCAGTTGGTGATGGAGACTTTGGGAAATCTCAACATCCGAGGTGAGCCAGAACAGCAGCAAAGGGGCACTGAAATTGCAGCAGTTGCGGATGATGCCAGGAGGACCACCCACTGATCAAACAGATGGCATAGCAGCAAGCAGGGGGGCAAGAACACACCCTCTCCCAGGCGGCACATGCACTGGGGCCCATTCCCAACCACCCCAAGCCCTGCAACTGGAAAGAAAAACTCCCTCCCTTGGGGTGAAGTTTGATGGGGATCCGCAGCAATTGGGATTCTTTGTGGCACATGTGGTCACATACATGCAAGAGTAGGGGCGTAATTTCCAAACCCAAGGATCCCGAGTATCATGATGGCCTTGCGACGATGTTTCGAGGACCTTCTTGCAGATTGCAAAGCATGCGACCGCATTAAAGTTGTGAAGCAGGGGCAGCGGCCAGTGGCAGAGTATACTGAAGAATTCCAAGACCTTGCATGTCTTGTGAACTGGCCAGAGGACATTCTGGTAAGCTGTTTCAAAGATGGGCTAGGTGATAACCTCTACAATGCCTGCGTGGCCCGAGGTGCACCGAATCACCTACATGAGTGGTACCTCACTGCCAAAGGAGCTGAAATTGATATGACCAGAAACCAGTACCGAGCAGGACGAGTGTGGAAGAAATCCCCATCCCAATGGAAGCAAGAGCCCTGCAAATTGCAAACCGCATTTTCTCCAAAACCCTCAGCCTGTTTCAAGTGTAGAAAGGAGGGGCACCCAGCTGCAGAATGTCGTTCTCAAGCACCTGCACGGAAACCAAAATGCCTGTTGGGGGGGGGGACCTATGAAACCTGGCCAGCGTGGGAAGGAAGCTGCCATGAGGAGCAAGGAGACCGTAGAGTTTTCATTTTCATCCCCTCCCCTCTTTGGGGAGGAAACTCCGGCACCTCAGCAGGAGGAACCAAACTCATTCGGGAATGATCCAGAGGATGAACCACCAGTAAGCAAACCAAATAAACCGCTTACCCTCCCCTTAAGACTATTTATCCCCAACTGGGACAGGGAGATAAAAATCTCTGCTTTAGTGGATTCAGGGTGCACCCGCTGTTTGATCAGCCCAACCCTGGTCGAAAAGTTGAAGATTAACGTAAGAAAGCTGAAATCCCTCATCGCTTTTTGCCAACTAGATGGTCAATAGCAGGAGGGGAGCCAGCTTCTTTTGCTACCGAGCCTCTACAAATAGGCATCAGGAGCCATGAAGAAATAATTACATTTATAGTGGCACTGGGCATGGAATGGCCACTAGTCTTGGGCCTTACATGGCTGAAAAAATGGAACCCCAAAATTAATTGGAAGCAAGGCCCCATAAAATTTCAGATGCACGTGACTTTTGCTGAGAATCCACATAAACTAAGGGGGCAGAGCACCAAGAAACAGCCATGCCAACCCAGGGCATACGCAAAGAATACAAAGACTTGGCTGAGGTTTTTAGCAAAAAGGCTTCTGATGAGCTCCCACGCCCTACCACTCCACTGACAGTGCAATAGAAATTCTACCCAGTGCCAAACTCCCTAAACCCAAGATGTATAGCATGTCTCCGAGGGAGCTGGAAGAACAGTGGGCATTCATTGAGAAAAACCTAGCAAGGGGTTTCATTGAGCCAGGCCAACCAAAAATCGCAGCCCCAGTCTTATTTAGAGAGAAAAAAAAGGCTCAAAACGTCTCTGTGTGGATTTTAGAAATTTAAATACAATCAGTGTGGAGAACATGTACCATCTCCCCCTTATGAAAGATATGCTAGCACACCTTGCTAAAGGGAAAATTTTCTCAAAGTTGGACTTAAGGGAGGCTTACTTCCAAATGAAAATTAAGGAGGGGGACCAGTGGAAAATGGCATTTAACATCCCCTTGGGTGCTACCAATTCAAAGTGCTCCCATTTGGGCTACAAGGGCCCCCCGCAGTGTTTATGCAATTAATAAATGAAGTGCTACATGAGCATTTGTATAAGGAAGTCCTGGTTTATCTGGACAACATTTTAATATATACCGAGACCAAAGCAGAACATGTAAAACTACTCAGGGCTGTTTTAAACAAACTCTGCTCTGCCAAACTTTATGCTGAACTCTCTAAATGTGAGTTCCACGAAGAAAAAATTGACTATTTGTGGTACTGCATTTCACACCAGGGCGTAGAAATGGACCCTCAAAAAGTGCAGGCTATACTTGATTGGGAACCACCCCACACATGTAAACAATTACAATTACAATTCTTGGGATTCACCAACTTTTATCACCAATTTATCCCTGCTTTCATTCAGATTGCCCTCGCCATTACCAACATCTTAAAAACGAAGGGGGAGGGCAACCCAAAACTGAAGCAGCCTTTGAACTGGTCAATGGAATGCCAAGCTGCATTTGAGAAACTTAAAACGGCTGTTCTCAGCAGAGCCAATTCTAAAGCACCCGGACACAGAGAAACCATTCATCATACAAGCAGATGCCAGTGATGTGGCAATAGGGGCAGTCCTGCTTCAGAAAAATGAGCAAGACCAACTACAACCATGCACTTACACATCCAAAAAGTTGAATGAGACTGAGCAAAGGTGGGCCATTTGGGAGAAAGAGACTTATGCAGTTCAGTGGACATTCTTAACCTGGAGGTGTTTCCTAGAGGGGAGTTAAATCCCTTTTGAAGTCTGGACTGATCACAAAAATTTAAAAGCCCTAAAAACCCCAAGGAAACTCTCCCCAAAATAAATATTATTATTATTATTTATTGAATTTCTATACCGCCCTTCTCCCGAAGGACTCAGAGCGGTGAACAGATTAAGATTTCATATACATATAATAATTTTTTTTAATAAACAGTAAATAATAAATTGAGTCAACTTGGTGTATCTGCTAAGACCTTGGCAT